GAAGAGAGTTTACAAATTTCTGTGAAAATATCTCAAAGTAAATGCTGATCATTGACAACAGAATATGTGGCGTTGTCGTGTGTTGGGCTTTGTCCTCGTTGTATTCCTTGGTTGTATAGCAAATGTTCCTCCTTATGGGTGCACAGTCCGCTTGGGATTTGATGAGTCCAATCCTTATATGAAGAGCAAGTCTTCTCCTTGGACGAAGGCCTATTCCTATTTGGATGAAGGCAAACTCTAATTCATTGGGACATTATGACAAAAACGTCCAAAGTGCAGCTGCTTCAATCTTATATACAAATTTGCCTGGAAAAATGGTCATGTGATCGGCAGTTTTTAGAAATGAAGGTTGATCTCACAGGTGCTAGTTCAGCAATGACTCACGTTGACACAATGGTGTCATTTACTTTCCTCTCCTTTCACTTCTGGATATTATCATTTAGCAGCTGACTGTTAAGTCTTGTCCATTGGTTGACAAGGAGTGTTATTCAATCAGTATATTGTGCAATGTTTAAATAACAATCACGATGGATGTGATATAAAAATTTTCTTAAAAATGGACTATACTATCCTGGAAATCCTAGATCTCACACAACCAATACAATGATGAACAGTTTAATAAGCTTTTAATGGAATGTCTGGTGACCTTATAAGATGGCAACAGCAAACAGCACACATTTATTTTGTCAAAATAATCTTGAGTTAATACAGATAGTAAAAATAGTGTTAATAATATAACCACAGAGGCAGCCAAATGTTTCATCACGATATCCATAGTCCCACAAATGCAATAAGCACCATTTGCTGAATGAATGAACTCATTGGTGAATATCTAACATATTTTAGTATACTGATGCACTGTTTAATGCAGGGCTATGGAGTCGGAGTCGGGAGGAATTTCTGGCATGAGAAGAAGTGAAATTGAAGTGCAAAAGCTGTAGAATAAAGATATGTAGATGCGGAATTTTATCACTCCCCCTTTTTCCTCTTATTAAATATTTGTTAAAAATTAATTTTTTTATACAAATAAACATTAATGTAAGTTAAATATTATAAAAATACTAACTATAAAAATATTTGGGTAAACACCTCAGGCTCCTTTCAGAGTTCAGAGTAGGGTACCCCCCTATGAGCACTTATGCCCCCCATAAGATGACTTGGTATTTAATTTTCCAGAGTCGGGAGTCGCAGTCGGCCAACTAAAAGGAGTTGAAGTCAAGTGTTTTTTTACCAACTCCGCAGCCCTAGTTTAATGCATACCGGAACGTACCCAATGTTATCGACACAAGTTTAAAGCTATTCAAAGACTGTTTTTCTTAAAAATGAATTTCATGATACCTTTAATAATTAATTTTTCTGGATTCTAATCCTTTAAAAATTAGGAAAGATTTGTCCCATTAAAAGTGTTTCTGTAATTTGTGGGTCAAATTGAATACTTTATATCAGTACCTATAAAACTGCTTAGATCTTCTTAATTACAAATTTAATACTTTATCAAGCTCATCAAAAACAATAGAATATAGTAAAATATACTTCATGTAAACTCAAATTAACTCTAGCTAAGATATTCTCCATCATTATTGGAATTAAAACAGTTAATAGATATTAAATTTCCTTTGTTTCTTTCTGTTAAAGACCAAATCAAATAATTTTCAATATAAATATAAAATAGAAATATCATCATTTGATTTAAATTGTTTATGTATTTTATGAATAAAATATTAATGATGATAATTATTAAATGTTAGTAAATAAATCTCCTGTAATAAATATAATCAAATACATTGGAAATAAATGTTGAAAAATTTTCTATAACAGTATAAAAATATTGGAAGAAATAATCAGATAACTAAAACTTTAAGAGACAAGCCACATACATATATTATTTGCGTAAGAATAATTAAAACTGTTATTAAAAACATTCACAATCAATATTCTGTTTCCGTGATATTAACTGTGCCAACAAAATAAAACATTTATAAATTTTTAATCAGTAAATGCACTTGAGTAATCTTCTATTTCTAAATAATTCCAACATAATTTATGCAAACTGCAAAAGAACAAGCAAAATAAATTGATATCCAATATAATTTTAAAGAAGAAAATGTTGTTATATCTATCGTTTATGCTTTATAATAAATACTATAATCAGATATTTACTTCCCAAGTAAAATAAAGCAATAAATTTCTGACTAAATTACTTTACATAAATTAATTTATACANATATACTAGTTGACTAGCAATATATATATTGCTAGTCAACTAGTCAAAGAATTTTTCCAATAAACATAGAATTCTACAATATAGTTTTTGGATTGCTCTGTTAAATTGCTTTCTCTAACAATACTTCTAACTCTTGACAGAAAACTAAATATTGAAGAAAATGCTCTTTAGACGATAAAATTGATTTAAAGATACATGTATAATAAAATTTTATTGATTTAGGCAAAACTAATAATAGAAAAAAAAAAAAACTTTGTAGACAAAAACATTCAGTATACTGATTAAATGTCAAAATATTAAAATTTCTAATTTGAATTTTAAGCAGTTTAAAATAACTATCATCCATAAAATGAACCATTAAAAATTAATGACGTCGAATGTGATAAATTTGCAGAATTATTCTATATCATCCTCATATTTTCTGATATGAGAATCAATCTATTGATATCTACCTAGAGGGTCGAGTTATAACTGATTAGTTAGATCTTACAATAAATATATGAAAACATTAGCTAATTTATTCAACAGATAACTTGTAAAGAATTGATAAAAATAAATTTTATATAACGTGCATTTTTATTTATGGATAGAACTGAAATCATTGGATTGTGTTATAATAAAAGGAGTAAACATATCTGGCAAATGCAGGTTTTTATATTATATTAATAGTGTTTACTTTAGTGACAAAGTAATATCGGAAAAGGTCATCCATAAAAATCAAAATTCTTTAATATATTAAACAAAACATGTTTGTTATTAAATAATAATAATGACGTACTTTATTTATAGTATAATTGACTGAAATTTTATGTAAAAAATGCTTTCAAAACAATATATCAAATGTATTAAAGAAGCATTTCAACAGTATTCACAGTTAAACTTTAATCTTTCAAGTATTTAAAATCAAATATTTTATTTTTCTGAATTTATTTTAGCTGCTCCTTACAAATTAAACTAATCTTAAATTGAATTATAAGTATTGATTAAAATGTTTATTTTCGTAAGGTCAAATTAACTAAAACAAATCAGTGACCATATAGTTTATGTATTTGATATAAACTACATAGTAAGACAAATATACAATAGCTTAACTTTCATATTGAAAAATACTAGTGTAGCTTAGAGTAATTCAGGTATTTATCACTACTAACACATCTTTTAATTTTAAAATCAAAACCTTGTTGAAAAATTTGTTTACAACACTTATTAGAACTGAAGTTTAAAACTAACTTGTAAAATCAAACTAAGAATTAACATACTTTGTCCGATTAATTGATATGCATTTTTATCAGAGAAGGTTTCTTATCAATTATATTTCAAAACATATTTATATTTATCCTAATTTATACTTACCTAAAATTTATTTTATTCAGTCTGTATATTTTCTGTTTATAAAAAATTAACTGCCAGATTTTATCAGACTACATTAAGGCTACTTAATAACCAGAATTGAAGCAATTTGGTTATAGATAGGAAGTCAGGCTGCCATCTCTTTGTATATTATTTAATAATTAGAAATAAATTAATTTTTAAATTAAATTTAGACTATTCTGGAAGTAAATAATTCGTCTGGAGTGAAACTTGAAGCCACAACTCCTCCTGGCTGTGCAGTTGCATTTCCAGTTACACTACTTGAATCCCCATCCAATATTCACTTTCACAACTATTAATTAATTCAGATATAACCATACTGATTGTTCTGGTGCTAATTGATTATATTAAGTTATATGACAGCATTTAAGATTTAATCACAGAATTTAATGTCATTGGTAATATGACTAAACAGATATTCTATATTCTTTATAACAAGAATTATTATAATTTAACAATTAGAGTCTTTAACAGATGTTAAGATTAAAAATGTGTTTTGTTTTAAAAAAAAATTTATTTAAAATATTAACGATCATCAATAATAGCCTAAGCTGGAACATAGTGCCTTCATATTAACAGTCAATTAGAAAAGTAATTCATATAATGGATTTTTTAGGAATTTCTAAAAAGATTTTAATAAAAAAATATTAAGAATAAACTCCTTACTTATAGAAATCCTGCAAAATCCTTGATTAATATTTCTAAGAGCAAATTTCATCTTCAGATTCAAAACAATTTAAAAAGAAAGCCTTAAAATTAATTCAAAAATATGGCAACCCGAAGATAATCTTAGATTTGTTTTCAACATCATGAAGTGTTTTTGCACAGGACTTCAGTAAGTAAGGAGCTTATTTTTAAGATTTTTTGGTATTAAAGAATCAATGAGTATATAACAATCACTTAATCAAATTTTAATAATATATATAATCAAATATTGTATAAAAAGACTTAGTAAAATCACTTTCTAGATCAACAAGCACTCTTCTAATCAAATGCTTTTATAATTTTATACCTTAAAAAGACAATATTAATGACAAAAGTATTTATGCCTTATTACAGATATTTATCTTTTGAATCTTCATCATTTATACCAAATTAATTATTGCATTATAATATGCAATATACAATTAAATGGAAGTTATATCATCTCTTTAAATTCTATTGTATCATCTTTAATTTTTAAGTTGCTAAGTAATAATGCAGAAAAATTTAATCTGATCAAAATTATATTGCATCAATCAAATTCATATCATAAATTTTCCGAAATATATCTTAATTGAGTATTAATTGCATTACATAAAATTTAATAATGCATAATTTTAGTTAATGATGTATATAAACATATGATTTAAGCATAAGGAGTAATGATTTAGATTTATTATTATTACATAAATTTATGACTTACCTTTGGCGTGATCTTTATCTAGTTGATAGGCTATTTTTTTCCATTCTTCCATTTTATCTTGTAATGGCACAACCAAGCTATCCATTAATGAACTAGAAAGATGATGAATATTTAATCTAAGTTCCAGATTTACTGAAATTCCATATTATTTAATATAACCACTTTCTATAAATAATAAACAGACCTCGTAAATGCTTTCAATCTTGCTTCTACACTTCTATGTCTTAAGCAGAGTCGTGTTAAAGCTGTTCCTATATCTTTGGTTGCTCCTGCATCATAGGTTTTGAATATTGATGAAGAAAACATCATATAAATATACTAATAATTTTAATTTAATTTCACTATATGATTATATAACAACATATAAATATATCACTATTCTTTATGTCAAAAGTAAGCACAATTATTTTTACGCCATTCCATTTTATAAACTTCTATTAATAAAATTTTTAAGCTAAAACAAATTCTTATAACTTAGTAAAAATATATTTTAATATATAAAATAATTTTGAAACCATTTTAAAATATTGAGAAGATTTATATTGACAAATGACACCACAAAATGCTTTTGTACACAATAATTATTATAATACATCAAAGTATAAAATCTCTGTGAAGTAATAAGGATTTGTATTGTTTTTAATATATAAAGGTATCCAGAAGTCAGTTAATTAAGACTATAATGTGATTGTATTTTGTTATAACTTGCATACTTCATAAAAACTGTTTGAAGTTAGAGCCTTCTTGTTTAATACACAAGTTACAATGCTTTAAAAAATGAAATTATAACACTTAAAATCCTTTGCTGGTTTGTTTGAGAATTGCAAACAATTAAATGGCTTTCAAGCCACCCCCACATATTATTGTTTAAAAATCACGTTAACATACATTAATTTCTACATATTTATGAAAATATTTTAGGAAAACAATTACAGAAATGCTAATTCAATTTTAATAGCATTTAAATTTATATTTGAATGAAACTGAAATTCCAAAAGTAACATTTTTTATCGTTATAAAATAAATAAAAAGAGGAGATTCTTTTAATGGCAAATTAATTCCAGAATAAGCCACTCTACGGGAAAATGCCTCGAAGAGATAACAACATTTTAAATGCCAGGTTAATTTTCCTACAAACTTTTTTTTTTTTGGTTAGAGTCCTTGAATGCCAGCCACTCCTATCACAAACATGTTAACTTATAACATCATTTTTTTTTATTCTGTTCTAATATTTATTATATATATATATATATATATATATATATAAAATTATGCTTTATTTAATTGCAATGTTATTTTAATTACATAATTGTCTTTTACTTTTTAAACAATGTTAATTAAATGATTATTACTAATTCATACTTTATATTCTAATCTATGTGCTAGCTATTTAGCATAATTCTATATAAACTGACAATTGAAAATTTGTAATGTGATAAGACGTTAACCAATAGTATTTACAATATAATCAAAAATATTTTTACCGTAATATTCTTCAATTAATACGTGTAAAAAAATTAATCAGAGAGATTATTTCCTGATATACAGGAAAAATATATTATATACACTAATTTATCATTATTAAAACTGAGATAGACAATTAAAAAAAGAATTATATGATATAAATTAAACTTGAAATTTCACTTAATCTAAGAACGGGATGGATTTACACACTAAACAAGTTACAGCTTAAGGTCTCACACTACAGGATGCTTGAGACTTTGTGCTTTTAAATTTATTATTTAAAATGGAAGGCCTCTTATATGTTATAGCTTAGGACCATACTAGTCTAAACCTGAACCTGCTAATAGTCAAAAAACATTAAAATTAAGTAATAGTAAAAGAAATAAAGCAACAAAAAACCCACAAGTTTTTAAAATATAAACATAGATAATAATGATGATAATACACTTTTCCCACAAAGAGTAATGATAAAATAATTATAATATCAAGTAATTATAACTAACTAAATTCAAAACTTCTGCATCTAATAAATTTTATCATAAGTCAAAACCTCTACCTCAACACTTTCAATATTTATAAGTGAAAAATATCTATTTTATATTTCTGTATAAATAAATATTAACTTATTATTATTTTTAATTAATTTCAACATTAACATTAAATTATGAATTTTATTAATTACTGATCTTAAGAATAATTCAGCTAGAAATATAAATTAATCAGAATGAAAATGCCAGATTTCTACCAATCTATTTTTAAGCTGTGTGAAAAAAAAAATCAATTAACAAATTTATTTCTAGAGATAAGCAGAGTCGCTATCATTTAACAGAATTTACGATTGTTTCCGTATATTGAATTAACGATAAGATAAATCTGCTACACAGGCAGAAAAATTATCCTTGTGGCAAATTCTTCTTATACACATTCTATACATAATATTGAAGTTATTGGTGAATTTAATCATCGCATAAATTAAATTTTGCTTTGTAAATAAAAAATAATTGTAACTGTAACTGTTCAGTGTTAAATAATTGTTTTAAAAAATAACTGAATACAATAGCTAAAACCGAAAACAAAACCAAATGAAACACAGAAATCAGTAATATATTATATTGGAAACATTTCCAAAGCTTTCAGGAACATCAGCTGCTCTCTAATAAAACAATTCTCAAACCAAAGATTAGGTTTGAGAGGTGTTCTCTATTAGAAAGCAGCTGATATCGGATGGGGAAGTTCAGAAACATTTCCGACGTAACAAATTATCGACTCCTTCGCTTCGTTCTGTTCCAGTTTTCTTTTTTTAAATACTGATAAACAAAAGCATCTTACTTATAACAACTAAACCCATGAGATTACAAATCAAACCATTAAAACTGCAGATTATCTCAAGCTTTAATCCTGCATTTTAATCATTAAAGATATCTTGCTGTTAAGTATGTACAAGTGTGTGCGATGAAATTCAAACATGCTATATTGGATCTTATCCAGATTTAAAAGTAATTATAATAATTCAAATTTACATATTTAATTATATAAATTTGTCATAGATCTAGTGAAATGTCTACTTATAATAAAATAATCATTAAATTTTCTATCCAAACTATTTTAAAATTAAGTTACTCTGTAACGCTATACACTTAAAAAATAATACTTATATCCATGATTTATGTCTATTATTGCATGCATGTATACATAAGGCATTAGAGTTGGTGAATAAATTTCGTATTAAAAGATTATTAAATCTTTAATTATTTAAATATCTTAGAGATGATGTTAAATACTTAATATTAGTTATTAAAAGATTCGGAAAATCGATATTTTCGTAACGGCATATTACTCAATCGGCCAAGACGAAGTATAATGTTCCACATAAGGAATGATATGTTTTAATTGGAACTGTGTTACATAACACCTCATCAAAGAGCAAAATGCTGTATAATTGCACTTAACATTAAAGTATATTTAATGAGCGAATTCACTTTATACACATGCCACCAATGGACACGTTACACAATTTTGAAAACCTTTTATAGTAATAAAATATCCTTATTAAAATTTTCTTTAATGGGTTAAAAAATGTGAAGTGAAATTGTGTTATTATTTTCAAGGTCAGAAAGTATCTGACTATGTTTCAAAGTATTAAAAACAATAATAATAATAATAATTACTTTTTTTTAATTACTAATTAAATTGTATGAATGAATTATCTAAAGCTAAAATATAAAGTTTATAATTTGTTTTTAGTCATTTTTTTCAACTTTAACATATAAAAGTCTGTTTAAAATTAAATCTAGAACTATAATAGGACTGGAGGCGACATGAAATTGAGTGTTTTTTGTGGAAATTTATTTCTTCTCCCCACTTTGATGATTAATACGGTATCAAAGTAATTGTTAGTCGGTTCACGAAGGAATTACTTAGAGAAAAATAATGTCCAAATAATCCGAAGCAGAATAAATTATTAATATGCCTGTTTTCTATAAAGCAAAATGTCAATTTTCTTCTTATTTTAACTGCAGAAATTACAGTTATTTATTACTTTCTGATGAATTAGTTATAACCTTTCCCAAAGCTGCATTCTGTTGTTTTAAACCCTTCAATTATAAAAAAAAATCTATTAAAATTTAATCTGATAATTATAGACCAACATTAATGTATCAATCATTTGATGAAGTAAATCGCAATACAAGGCACAACTGCGAAAATTAAAATCCAATTAAATTCGTTTTAAAATAAATAAAACGCGTTTACAAACATTAAAATCTGTTAAAGAAGAATTTCGCTTTTATAACTTCCTCGGGCGAAAAGGGAGAAGGATTAACGAAAAAAAAAAAGAAAATGAATTTTGTCAATGCTGCCTGTCACACGACCTTGAAAACTTGGCGGTAATCAACTCACGAACTTCGTTATCCCGTTCACTTATATCCAAAACATTTTTTTCATCAATTTAATCACGTTTTTTTTATAGCTTACGTCCATAATTTTTGTATAAAATATTTTAAAAAATAGACTTGTTTATCGTATTTCTATCGTTAATCCCGTGAATTTGTTTCGCTTCTATTAAAATACACGTACGAGTTTGGTTTTGTAAAAGTTAGAAAAAGTTGAAATTAACCGGATTAATTAAAATTTATGCGATTTTTTTTAAAATAATTGCATCGGAAACAATCATTTTTATCAAACGAAACGATCTATTTATAGACCGGAAGATGAAAAATAGAACGGCAGTAATCAAAATACGTAGGCCTGGAGCACAGAATAAACAGTTTTCAATGTGAGCGGGGTGGAAAAAAGGACATTCTGTATAAAAGGTTAGGGAAAAAACGATAACGCATATCTCTAGATTGATATCGTGTCCTAACTACCATTGTAAATAATAATAACGACGGAAGAAACGTCTTAAAAAGCGAATAAACTTGAGACACGCAAGAGGAAGTGAAGGGGGAGTGATTCTTACGTAACCGACGAAATTTCCTTTTTTCTCTTTCAATCTGGATAGGAGGACACACAATATTGGTCACCCCAGTTAAAGAATTTGCGGTTACAATAAGGAAACACGACGGTTCCACGCGGAATCGACAATAGATGGGGATTTTCTATTCACCATCCACCTGCCGACAGCGGTAGCGGATCAATGACTGAAGACAGGGTGGAGTGGGGCAACCGCTGACCTTCTGTTCCACCTACTTTCTACCCACAACACAACAAAAGCCCATCCTTTCATTTTGCGAGACGTCTTCGCATTCAGTTTCCTTTATAATAAGTGACCTCTATACGGAGAGGGGGGAGACTCGACCGGTTTCTGGATCCTTGGAAAATGTCTTACTACAGAAGTCCCGAGTGTTTTTTGAGGGTTCCGAAACCGTTTGTAAACCAACCGGAAATAAAATTCGAACCGATCGATACCAGATGTATCTCGTTTAGTAACGCTTAACCTATTTTACGGTTTGCTCTGGGGAGGCCAGCACACTTGACATTGATTAGTCACGCGCGCACGCATCTTCCCAAAAATATGTTGATGGGCCGCTCTCTTTCTGATAAATCGGGAGATCGTTTTCTAAGGTGTTGAACCCGAAAACTGGTTTTAAACTCACTTTTTCACCCACCCCCTGGAGGATCGAGTGCAATCGTACTAACAAACACGCGCTGCTACCTTATCGGAAACAAACCGTAAAATAGTATGTTCTTCGGCAAAACACCAGCTTCTGAAAACTCGAACAACAGGTCCGGTGGGGTTGTTCACCCGAGAATCTGGCCTCGTGCCAGAGTTCGTTTTCTCTCCCCCCCCTCCCTTCCCCCCTCAACTTTCGTAGATTCGCGGGGGACCGATTTATAAAAAGGGAATTCTGCTGCTGGTTCATGGACGACTTGTTATTTTGTCCTTGCTGGAAGCCCACACAATGGTTACCCCGACGTAAACAATGTGTTTGTCCTGTCACCTAACCGACCAGTTCGTCGTAAATGCATCAGGAATCAATTTATACATAAGCCGTATTTAAGTATTGTTTTTAAATGAAATGAGTTGGAGGAACCATTTGCTGTTAGAGCTGGATCCGAAAGTTTTTAAATATTCCACGAGAATGGTGGTTTTTTTTAGCATTATTTAAAGAAATGGTCAGTAGTCTTGGAAACAGGCCAACACCCTGGGTAATAAATTTCTAAAGGACTCCTGTAGTCGAGAAACAGAATTTGACTCCATTGTAAAAACAATTTAAATATAGCAATAAAGTAAACACACAGATAACTTAAATGTAATATTAAACTTTTCTGCTGAAAATATCCTAAATTCTACTGATAAAATTATTTCGTATTGATCTTTTACCTTTTGTATTTGTTGCCATGTCGGCGATCTTTTGAAATGAATCCAGAAATGCCGCTGAAGCCACGATTGTTGCTCTGGAAGAGGTAAAATCAAAAGGGAATATTTATATTTATGTTAATTAATTATAGCACTTATTCTAACTGTAATGAACGGGTAAATTGCTCGAATGTACTTGACGAATTGGTGGTTCACAAACATTTCTTCCGCTATTTTAAATCAGGATATGACATGTTACAATGTCAATGGATAGTTAAAGTTAACGAGAAGCAGGAAGAACAATGGGCAGTGAAGTGAACTTTATAGAACAGTTCAATGCACTTCTATATAATAACTAAAATATTGCAATACCAAATATAGTGTGCAAATGGAATAAATTACCATTTATGTATGGACTACGTGTTTCTTAATAAAGTCTAAAAAATCTCTGTAATTACAAAGCATGAAATTGATATTTCATCACAATTAACCTGTTAAAGCATGCTACAACTCTTCACTTGTAGTATTATCGCTTAATAAACCAATATGGACATTTTCATTAAAATTACTAACAACCACGGCAAAATATCTTAATAACTTAATGCCCATTAGGATTGCGATTATAAATTTAATTGAATTAAGAAAATAAAAATTAAATTATTCTAAAGCTATTTAACTAAAGATATTGTTTAACTATATGTTTAAGTAATTTAAAAATAATCATCTTTGATAATTCAAATTTTATTCTGAGTATAGTGAATGAATGAATGGAATAATCTATTTTTACTAGATTCTATCAATTCATTCATTTAATAAAATAATTCCAAGGATAGTTTATGTTGAAACCTTTCCGAAATAAAAGCAGAGATCCCTCTTCTTATTATGACACATATTTACAAAAAATGTTTCAAAATCGAATATATAACATTATATTCTTCAAATAAATGGTTTGATGAAGGCCATAATTTACGTTCTCATTTTCCTTTCCAATCTTCTAATATACCCGTAAACAATGGTTGAAGTAAAGATATTTTTCTATACTTTTATAATGTAATTCTTTATAAAACAATTTTTTTATTATTTAATTTTCTTTTATTATTATTTTAAAAGAGGTCAAATTGTTTTCGACTGGAAAAATCCTACTGTATTATTTTAAAGTTGAAGAAATCTGATTACATAATAAAGTGAACAGCTAAATCTTTTATTTGGAAGAATTCTTTTACGTAATGAAATTATCCATCAATGTCGAGATTATGGCAAAAATTCATCAAAGAAAATTAACGTTTTTCTAAAAATAAAATAATATATCATTTGTAAAACTGATTTAAGCTGATTAGAATACGTATCAAACTATAAAATTCCAAATAATTAAATTTTATCTTTATTATGATAAAAACTTTTGATAAAATCTCCAGTAAAATAGATAGAGATTCTTTATCAAATGATATTACAAAATATATAATTACAGGAATTAACTCCTGTAAAAAAAAAAAAAAATTATAGACTTTTACATGTGTGCAGCAGTTTTCTAGAATTATACGATCAGTCATTGATACTCTATTATTAATTATAATCAACTGATACTTCCTTTTCTTAAAAATGTTTACATAAATAAAATTAGTTACTGAAACAAAATACTCCTAAATAAAAACTGATAATAGTTTAATAGTAGATATCTATTCTCAACTATTTTTAATTCTACGGAATTCGTCGACAAAAAATTACTGCATCTGTTCGGCATATTCATAACGGACTATCAATATAGCTGTATAAAATGCTGCTGTTAATATCTTCCCATAGACCCACCTCCAGAGTCAAATTACAACACAGCAGTCCTTGTACTAAATATTGAATGTCATTGAACAACTGTCAAAACTGTTTCCTCAACAAAACATCAATTTAAATCATTGTAATTAAACAAATATAAAACAAACTTCCAATTCATAAACCATAACTTTGGAATTATTATTATTAAATACATGTTCCACTGAACTGAATAAGATGGGAGGGGAAAAAAAACTAATAATTTTATTAATCAGTTAATTAATTCAAATAATGAAAGTACTAATAAAAATATTGAAAATTTAAATATATGTTTATAACAATAATTTACATAATTTTTTCCTTGAGTATATTTTAGCATACAATTCATTCTTTATAAAGATAAAGGTGTTTGCACTAACATTCATGTTATTCATTTAATTGCTCCATTAAAAAAGTTATTTGCATTAAATACTTTCATTTTCGAAAGAAAATTATAGTGTATAAAACAGAATATTCAACTTACTTCAACTGAGAATGTAATTTGGTGGCTTTTCCTAAGAAATCCTCCCATGCTGGTGTTCCTCCCTAAAAATATTATACAAATTTTTATTCAGAAAGAAAATTAATATTAAACACGAATAAATATTTTATTAATGTTTTATTGCAACAAGATCGAAATTTTTATGATTTACACAGCTGAATTTATTGTCTCTTTAATTTAAGTAATAAAAGATATCTCAGAAAGTATTAAAAAGCTGATAATTTGAGGTCAGTGAGATGTCAACTTTCTTTGAGTGAGCACTAAGCGGAAGTAACCTATAAACACAGGTGAGTGTGATAATGATAGCCTAGATTTTCCACTTGATTGTATACTCAATTATGAATGTATTCTTATCCAATGGACTGAAAAATTTAGTACGATTTGTATTAAGAAGTTAAGAAGAAATGCATACTTAATAATTAATTTGAAAAATTTTATTATTAACAAAGATAAAGATCTGTACAAATGAGAATAAATAGCTTTACTAAAAGTTTTATAATTAATATTCAAAGTCAGATAGGTGTGTTATATTAGTCAAAATGCACCACTCTATTAGATAAGTTTCCAAATCTAGTTCATTCATAAACATAATTATACTGTTTTTTTTTAAACTGATTATAAAAAATTTAATTCTTAAAATTATTTATAATTTAGTACCTAATTCTAGATTACTCCCCTCTACCTACAAGATAATATTTGGAAGCTTCCACTCCCAATCCTCTGCCCAACTATATGACCAATCAATACCACTACACAGAAAATGCAGTGACTCACAATTCACACTGTGTCAAGTTTAGTTCCAGAGTACTATTCCAAATGGTCCTTATGGAAAAGTCAAAAGAATTGGTTTTATATTATAAATATAAAGGCCATCTTTGTTTAGCAATTTGGATAATATTGTAAACAAGTCCTCAAGGTATATAATTACCATACAATGAACATAGTGTGTAATTTTATCTTAAAAGTCTAAAGGAAATACAATTGAGGATAAAGTGTGCACTTATATACAGTAAAAAAAGAAAATATTTGAAAAATTTAAATGCTTTTAAAAGCCCGCAAAGTAGTTGAATCTTTCATTTTTATTAAAAAGTTTATTCTGAGAAATTATTAATTAAATTTTATATCCAAATATAAAATAAACTTTATACAATTTTTTTTTAACTTCCTAAACATAAAATTGAACTGGTCAAACACAAATCATTCTACAAATCAGCGTTAACCTTTTTAACCAGTAATTTTATTGTTCTGACAAATGTTATCAGTTATCTTAATTAGTCATGTTCAAGTCTGATTTATATTCAGAACTTGTATTTGAAAATATTTTCAAGCATACGTTTGAAGTACCGGTTAAAAAGATAAATATGTACAATTTACCCTGATTCTTCTTAAAACAATATTTAACCTTCTAAAAACTTTTAAAATATGAATTTAATAATTCACTTAAAAACTATTTCAATATAATTTCAGGAAGAGTAAATATAAATTTAAAAATGATAAATTTATCATTTATTCTTTTTTATTTATCATAAACAATATTTCAAAAACTAAATCATAATAAAATGTCATTTATATATCATTTTATTACAGATATATCCCTTGCTGTATTAAAGATATAGAAATAATCTAAATAAACAAAATAGAAAATTAAATTTGGATTCTAGAAAAAACTGAATTTAGAAGCAATCAATATTCAAAACAGAGTTTTTAAGCCATCAAACTAAATATAATATTTTAAATGGATTAATATAAATCTTTAAGAGTAATGATATCTGTCATAATCTCTTTCATTTAGACTATCTTCTAGCAAATTAAATTATGTAATCCGAAGAAAAAAAATCCAAACTGTCAGTGTATAAGATTCATTGAACTATGATTGTACTTTCCAAGTTTCCTATTCCATGTTCATTCATGCATGATATTGCTAACTTGTGGCATAACACATGAAGTTTTCCAAGCACATTAGTTTACAAATATTAATTTGTTAATATTAGCTGGAGAGATTGCAAAATCTATTAAATATTCACAAAATAACTAATAATATTTACTTATATAGATAATACAATATTTAAATAAAGAAATAACGATTGCATTAAAATAAAGTTTAACCTTATATACACAAATTATATTCTTAATTAATTAAAACAGAACATTTATTAATTATTTAGAGAATATAATTTTAAACAATAATTTAATTATTAAATTTAAATTGTTTAAATGTAGTTTTTTAAAACAACTAAATATCGTATTAACTTATTTAAGAATCTGAATATTATTATTTATTAAAAAAATATAAAAGATATAAAATAAAAAAAAAACTAAATCTTTCTTTTATACAGAAAGTTTCTTTGAAGAAAGATTTACTTTCTAATATAATTCTTAAGATCTATATAAAATTTTTGATACACATATTGCATAGGGATTTGAAATATGAAGAAGAGATGAGGGACTAAAATTAGAACAACCCCTATAAACCCCCAAATTGGTCCTCTGTGTCATAAATGATGCTCTAAAAATCATCTATATCAAATATTAAAATCTATTTTTAATTATTTATTTAATTTTTCCTGTTATTGTTATTAAATATAATTTTAAAATTAACAAAATATAATATTTTTTAAGAAGTTTTACTGTTTTCTTTTTAATTTAAATTTAAGTTTAACATTTTATTTTATAGTACAATATTAAAAATAAATGACAATAATAATTTTTGAAAATCAAAGAAATCTTAATAAAATATAATGAATTTAGAACTGTTTATATCATTTATTAAATAGGAATTATTTGCCTATTTAAAAACCATACAGGGGAAAAAAAATTAAATTTTTATAAATCCATTACCAGCAATCAAACAATAATTATCTTTTATATATCATTTGATGAGAAAACTGAGTGGTGATGAAAACGTACTCAGCTGTGACGTAAAGCAGATTCCTGAGCTATAAAGTTCAGGTTTTAGTTTGTCGGAAAAATAATTATTTATATTTTAACTTATGTTATTTTAAGCATTATCGTATTAAAGAGAAAAACTTTATATATACACAAATAAATTGCTTGAAATGATAACTCTCTCCGAATCATCCTTTTAATTAAACACCATCATTAAGATATATATTATACATTAAGCATATTAAATTAAAGTTTCCAGCAATAACATTTTGATTATAGCCTACTTTATATATTAATTTGGTCATTTTCTGTTAGATGACAAGATATACATTATTTAAATGAATATAACTTTAAATATTAGAATAATTATTTTAAATTAAAATAAATAATCATTCTTACTTTTTTTTGAAACAATTTAAATTTGATATTTTTTTTTATTGCACCAAATTTTAAACATTTTTAATTTTACAGATTATTATTAACAATGAATAACTTTAAAGTTATCAGTTGTTTAAAAATCATTAGAGTCAATTGCACAACCGTATTGAATTTGGAATTAAAGAGAATTTATTCTAGCATTAAATACACAGAATAACATCTTGAGATTCAATAAATTCAAATGTCCACTTAACACTGGAGGATCCACTTCTAATTGTTCAACATCTTAAAGCCTATCTAGCAAAACAAACTCTACACTGTGGTTATAATGTTTTCAAACGTGTGATAAAAAGAAAAATGGTGTCACATTTGGTTATTGATCTGTAAAAGCTTTTCAAAATAACAATGTTTAAGTTTTAAAAGTATGAAATATTTTAAAATGGCAAATTTATTTCGTCTATTTTATGGCATACTAAATTATACTGGGTTGCTCCTGACTGGCTAGCTAGGAAGTTTAATAATTAATAAAGTAATCTGGCACTATAAATAGTAACTAGGTAATTAATGTTACTTCTAGTACCTTAGAATAATTGTGTGTCTAGATCTATAATAAATACAGAATTTTTTTAAAAATTTACTTTGAAGGCTATCTAAAGGATTCAAATTACATTATTATGGAAAAATTAACTTAGAAAATTATAGAATTGATCCAAATACTTTCATTTCTATTTAATTTGAAATTTTACTCAATTATAATATTCTAAAATCTAATGTTTTTCTTTAAAAACTGCTTTAATTTGTTAATTTTGCCAATAAAATAAATATTCAAAAGATAATTAAGAACTATATCTTCTGTACAGCATATTAAAGTGTAAAACAGCAAATACTATTATCCTAAATTATTAATTCTAATCGAAAGTTGCATCGACTAAATTTAATAAAATAACTTCATTATATAAAGTGTATCATTTAAAGTTTTTCTTTTTGAAGTCAAAGTTTATCAAATAGTATGATGATATAAAATGATAGGAATGTATAATATTTATTTTAATCTCATGGTGACTTATCACAGATAATCAGCCAATTTCTTCATAAATTGGGAATAACACTTATACAATATAAAATAAGAATAAGAATAAATTTATCCTTTAAGCAAATGAACTTAATTAAACTTATATTATTACATAAAGAAAAAAGTAAGAATCTAAATTTAGAGTAACCTCTTGTGATTACTACTTAATAAAATGAGCCTTTGATTATTAATACTAAGTGCTTTATTTTATCATCATCATTAGACTCATTCACAGACATTTTTATTTTATAATATTTATCTTTAAAATATATTTTTGCATTATATTTACTGTAAACGTAAGCATGAATGATACATATTAATGACATATGGTGTAATAAAGCTCAACATTATCCTTAGACACTATCTAGATCTAATTATGTATACATTTTTTAAATGAAAATCTAATATTACAATGTTAGGAAGAGGAGTGTATTTGTTGCGACAAATGGTTAGTACCAGGAAAAAAGTAACCATAGGTATGACTGACGGAAAAGTTAATTATTTTACGACTACTTGAAAATTTCCACCTATCATCATATTGGCAGATTTATCAACGATTTTAATTGTCGAAAACAGGATGCTACATAAAAGTGACCATCACGTAAATAAATAGATCCAATAATATAAATTTCAATATTAGTTTATCCAGCAGTTATGAATATTGTTATTTTCTCTATCCTTCTGTATAATTAATAGGATGAATATATACAGCATGTTTTTTTAATTTTCCTATCTACGTATCCAGTTATAACTAAAATTTCCGACAGAGAAAATACAACTTCATATCGTCTTACAAAAGATTATATCATATTCAACTAAAACTCAATATATTGGTCATTTATTTATTAATTTATTCATATATTTGAGAAATAATAAATCAATTATATAAAACAACAATTAAAAAAAAAAGGTACATTAATTAATCTAAACATATTTGCAAATTAATTCCTATTAAAACATTTGAAACATCTGTTTAAGATAATATTAATTAAAAGGTAAGGTAACGATTAATAAAAAAAACATTTTTAATGAAATTTATAATTAAATTAAATTGTTTCCATTACTGATATAATTGATATTAAAATAGATAGGATAATTAATTTCAAGCACAGGCAGACCGTATTATAGATTAAATTCTACAGTTAATAGTTAAATACTGTAATTCTTGGCTATATTTTAGAAAATAAACCCATATTGAAATCTCAATTAAATGTGACGATTATAAATAAAAAATGCCTTTAAAATGTTTTGAAATAAATTAATATATACAGATGGCCTACGGTGAAAATCTCGTAAGTCACGAACCACTTTCCGGCCAGTACGTCAAATTTACCCCTTAAATACACTCGTTTTAACACTAAAAAATTCCAATGTTATATTCCAAAATAAAGCCAATGTTAATCATTAAGCACTTTAATTGTGTGATAACACAAATAATAAATTGTCGAAGCGAGTGATAAATTATCCAAATATAAAATTTGTTTGCTTTTTTCTTTACTTTCCTCGAAACGTTACAAATACCGCATCAAAGAATTTTCCGCTTATACCACCAAAAATTTCAATATTAGGAATTACTTCTTTCCAACTCAATTATTTAATTTCGAAAAACAAACTCCAACGGTGCCACGTTATCCTACGAGCAAAGAAAGGCGTCCCGAACCAATCTCTTACAAGGAAATATCCCCCGAAGAAACACGATCGACACCGCACCGCTCCCCAATTGGAATTCACAGAGCCATAACGCGCCGCCGAATCCCGGGACAGGATACGAATAACCAAACATCAGCCAAAGAATCCGAAAAATACAGGATTTAAAGCTTGCGAAGCGTGCCCGAAACAATTTTCAAATCGACCATAAAAATATGTAAAACGGCGAAAGTATTTTTTAAAAAGAAATTTGAATTTTTTTTCCTCTGTTGAAGTATTACACTTTTTAATTTAATTAAAACTGTAGTAGTTTAATGTAGTAGTTTTATATATTTGAACTGATATAAATACATTAAATGAAAAAAAAAATCATTGAAGTGTATCACACTCATCCGCCTAAGCATTGAATTGCAAGGTACCAACTACACCGAACACAATTTATTTTTCTATTTAAGTGTATAATGTATTGAGAGATAGGGGGAGGAAAACTGAATAAATAAATAAATAAATAAATATGGCCAATGTCTTCTTACCTTTAAATCGTTAATAATCATTTGGAATAAACCTCCAAGTGCGGAACATTCCTTTTCCGCATTGGTCTCCATATTTCCCAATTAAATAATATCTTCGTGAACTAATATTAATTCAGATAATCCCGAAATAAACCTTATCGTCGTCATCATCATCATTGGCAATGATGATGGATGAAGGGACTCGTTCGATCCGAAATCCTCGACAAACACTCTCCGATCATCCGATATTTAAAAAAAGGATGCACTTAACTTCTCTTAATTAATGCCAATTGCGTTAAATAAACGTTTGGTAGTCGGTCCTTTCGATACTTTTGCGGATTACAAACATTAGAGAGTCGACCATTTTCCTTACGGTATCCGACATCGACCTGTCCACAACGACGGTGGCGACCTCACGCCGCTCCGGTCTGATGACGTCACTCCACTTCCCTGTTGTATTTTATCGTCTGTTCCACATTCGAAATTTTTCGGACTTTTACGTTTCTCGTGTTTAATTATACGTTAAAAATATAGTATTAAGTCTATATTAAAATAATTTATATTTTTTTAAATTAAAATCGAAAAATATATATATATATATATATTTTATATATGTATTTTTAAAGATTATAGGTCATTGACATCGTTGATAAAAACTTTTAATTTTATTTTCGATTCGAAAAATTAATAAAAGAACATTTAAATATTTTATGTATTTAAGCATTAAATTTACAGATATGTAATAATTTATAAGAGAATAATTATTAAATTTATTTTTAAATTTGAATAATTAGAAAGTTTTTTATTGTAGTTTTTAAAAAAAACTGTAAAACTCAATTATTTGTGAATTATCATTTCGGAATGATAGGCCGAAGGGTTACTAAAACTATCCTGGAAGTTATTATAGACCAATCATCAAAAAAACTATTTATCCGTCAGTTTTATTAAGCGAATTCCCGAGTTCGGCATCTTGGGTGATGGCCGCGATTCATTGGAAAACTCTGGTCAATGGAAAAATGTATCCTGCAGAGACCGGAATATTCAATGGGATATATACAATGATATATAGTTTAATAGTAATTTTAATCCGTTTCCTTTTTGTGAGTTATAATTCATCAAAATCGTAACCCACTTTGCCACGTAAATTATATAGCAAACTTAAATTTATGTCAACTGAGTTAGGAAATGCCATTAATATATAATTTCCTATATTAAATTCTGAATTTTTAATTGTAATCAAAGTAATTCTTATAGGAAATTTTATTTCATGTTTAATATTTGAGAAATTTTCTTGTTTTCGGCAATATTTTTTATCTGCGACTCTTTAATTAGTAGATCCCCGCTTATACGACCTGAAAAATCGTCGCTGTGCGAGCAGTCGTAAATTAAACAATCATAATTTTTATAAGAACAATAGGCTTATGCCGCTGCCTTAAAATAGTAATAAATATTTCTCTGAGTCGGCAATCATTTTTTAAAGAATCTCTTTAATATTTTAGCTTAGGAGTCACACAATACAAGCCACAGAATGCCAGGATGAATAACGAAAAGATGAACAATCATGGTGAAAAATTCCTATCAGTTGTAAATGTAGGGGTGTAAAATCAGTAGCAGACTATATGTCAATCAAGTCCATCAAGTAGAAATCACTAGATCATGGATGAGCCGTGTAGATTCAGTAGCTCGTCATTCTATGAGCAAAAAGGTGCAATTGCTTGGAACCTCTCGTCAACAGGCGGTCCCAAACCATCTTTTATAAGAAAATATTCTCTCAAAAAAATGTCTGAAGTTAACACCGTACATGGGAATCCTTAATTGAAATTTGCCTGGGCTCCTTGAAGCTATAACGCGCTACTACGCGGAGTTTTCCAGGTTTACTTTCACGTGTCTACATGCCTCTTTGGAGGACTTTCTATGCCAAAATGGCGCTCTATTGGAAGAGAAGAGGAAAGTGGCCGAGAAAAATGAGAAAAACATAAGAGTTAGAGCGCCAGTTTCTCATAGAGGCCACTTTGGCATAGAAAGTCCTCCATAGAGGCACCTTCCTTTCGGCAGATCGCCCATGTGTTGATCACCTTATCTCACCACTCCTAGTCTAATTGTAAGTTTACAGGGGTCACGCCGCATAGGACCAAAATCGCCATTTGGCGCGTATAATAGAAATAGCTTTATTTTTGAGAATAAAATCGCAATATCCATTGATAAAACTAAGAAATATCATATATACTTCATTCATTTATACGCCGGCTTTCATTATATTTATTTAAATTTCATACCGAGATATAAAAATATTTATTTTTCTCATAAATCATTATTTCAAATTAAAATTAATAATGAAATTTGAGCTCTCGTTCTTTAGGCCTATGTCAACCATACTCATTTGTACGATTATTCTCATTTATTATTTACTGATGTATTAAATTCTTCATTTATTACTTAATTAATTGTTCCGTGATAATGCAATTGTACGTATACCTTAGAGAATTTCGAAATTCTAGATTCTCTGACATTTTTATCAATCTTCCGAGCGAGTTTTCGATTTCTATTATGAGTTTAATCCTTTTGTGACTTTTCTTAATGCTCCACAGAATGAAAAAAAAATGTAATTATATTCATACTATGTTCATTTAAAATTAATTTTTAAGTACGGCAAAAGGATTCTTAGATTTTTCTGGATTTTGAAAGTCTAGGATTGTAAGATTTGTGGAATAATGCAACACAATACATTGGTGAACCCATAATGGGCTTGCTAAAAGAGCCCTCTTAGCAAGCCCATTAATCTTAGTGCCCATAGGGCGAAAAGGTTCTTTTGAAAACCTAGATTCCATTACTTTTTCCAGTGTATTTTCGGTTTCCATGTCTCAATAATGTCAAGATTACGATTTTAATCTTTACGTAATCACTCTTATAATCGTATTGCCGTTCGGAGTAGAAATAAAAGTAATTATTATGTAATTCTGTTGTTCGTTAAATGCCATTAGCAATACGATTCCTGGTAACTTGATGAACAAAAGGCCTCCATTCTTTCTGTTAGCAGTTCTTTATTTCATCCATTCATCTCTTATGGGCATATTATGTGGCACGTACAACTATTTTTTAAGTATTAAAAATTGGTTGATCTCATGAAAATGACTTGCCTGTGTATATAGGAAACAATCTTAATGGATTGTGTGTTTCCTAGATACTGAATATAGCCTAATAAAATTATATCAGTGAGAGTATTTAGAAACATATTTCATATCTTTGTATAATAAAAATTATTTCAGTTATCGTAAACTGTGTAAACATATATTATTTAACTTAAAGCAAATAATTATTAATACATACATGTAAATAATTTGTCAACTGTTTAAATACAATTTTTAATAAAATTCCGTGAAGTCAGAGCACATTGAAACGTCGAGAAATGCTAAAAATTTGGAGGTGTTTTTCTGCACGTGTGGATAATAGTATGTGTGTTTCGGGGGTGCACGATTTTGTTCACCCACTTTGAAGCCTAATAACTCCCGTGTATTTTGTCGAAACTTTCTGAAATTTTGCAGGGAGGTTTGTGTATTAAAGGCATTGTTGCTATTAAATTTTCGTGATTAAAAGTCAAGGGGGTGGAGAGATAGGGGAGGTCTTGTGTCCTATCTCGAGAGAGGTCGGATTTAATAAAGATTTTTATTTGTTATTAGCATTTACAACCGTTTATAAAACTCGAAATTAACTTTTTCGCCATTTTATTAATCAAAGGATTTGAATAGAATCGAGTGGCTTCGTTTGCCACTTTGTGTTAAATTATTCAAGTTTATCTTAATGTATTCAACTTGCTTTCAACTATCATTGAGTTTTATGACCTGATCCCTGTACCTGAGTAGAGAGGAAAGTTTATGTGAATATTTGTAATCTAATCTTTACTCAGTAGTACAAATTTATATTTTAATATTAATTACCACTTATATCAATAGTAATCCTCTTCAATTAGTGTCTTATTCTTCCATTGATTTATTTACTCTTCTACCAGTAAGTCCCTCAAAACCTGTTGCTGTGCAGAGGAGTTTCGTAGAGGGGCAAGAAGGCTTGGGCTCCATTATTTTTGTAAATAAATAAAGAAAGCAAAATTAAACATTAAAAAACGCACTTATGCATATGTATATACAATATGTAAGAGTTTACTCTTTATTTCAAGTGCCAATAGCAAGATCCACAGTGAATGTATAGTACGTTTGCACGTTGTAATTTGGGCCTTCACATAATATCAGAAATGTTATATAAAAGTGCATAAAGAAGAACATTCTACTGTATAGAATTCTACTAGAATTTTATAAGATGGTCCGCAGAAATAAGCATTCTACGAAAAAAAAATGATATAGACAAAAAACTAGTGACGGATCAAACATTCGGAGAGCCCCATGCGTGAACTAATTTTGAGGCCCCCTCTTTCTAAATACTAAGTAATGCTATCAAATCAGTTTATTACTTAATAAAAAATACTAATTAATTAATCGTTTCTTTAAAAATAAATCTCTAAGTGTCAAGAAAATGACAAAATGTAGCTCTTTTTTGAAGCTGCTAATTTTCGGAGGTCCCTGACAATCAGAGGCCTCAATGGCGCGCTTCTTGAGCCTGTACGATGATCCGCCACTGCCAAAAACGACATTCTCGTACTTGAAGGTGGAGTGATAAGATGGCACTATCGGTTTTACCATAGACATTTTTTATAAGCGTGATTTTTGCCTAATTATTCATTTTATTTTTGTATTAATACTTTATTCTAGTTAATTGTTTCTTTATTTCCTCTTTGTTCTACACAAGCAATGCAAACTAACCAATTTTACTTTAATTTGCGGGAGGTACTTTCAGCATGGAGTCAATCATTGGGGTTTTTTAACACAGGAAATCCTGTTTTCGCGTAGAGTCTCTTGCAGAAGTCTCTGTTTATTTGTTTGAATAAGCCATATACTATAAGGCAACGCAACGCGTGGACAATCTGCTAGAGGATGTCTCCCTGGAGGACTTCGTAAGAGAAAATAGCCCCTATTTAGGCGTTATAAAGTGAAGAAAACCCGGAAAACTTCACCTGGCCAGGTGCGAACCCACGACCAGTGTTCAGTGTTTTTATCTACTTGACAAGAGATAAAATTCTTTTGAACTACTTGACTAGTGGTCACTGTAAAGGTCTCAGAAACGCACACTTGTGTGTTAATAAAATTACGGTGTATGATTTAAAGCGGTAAGAAAATTTCCCGCCGGGATAAGTAACGTGAGTAGAGAGGAAGTAATGAAACTAAATTCGAGATTTTATTGCTCGCCGAGATATAAAGAGCAACAGTTCTCTTCTTTATCTCGAGAAATATTTAAATCTGATAAATTTAAAGTTGATTAGTACAAAAGAATGGCAGCGGTATCGATACTGCAGCGTTATGTAATGTATTTGAAGTACAGAAACACAAAAATCTGAACTTACGTCAGTGATGAACGTAAATTCGTATGTTTTTTTCGTTAATGATTCTTTTATATTCTTCGCTATATGTATAGCGAAATGCTTACCTCCTGCTGAGTAAATTTAAAAGAAGAGAAAAACTTTATAGGAAGCCCTCCACCGACTCCTGTTAACCAGAGTGTTAAGGGGATGTCTTCCTGGAGTATTTTCTACTGATATACTGTACGAGTATTCTGCTGGTATACGTAAAATTCCTTGAATGTTAACTGCTCGGATTTCACAAAGAGCTTCTAAGGGGATGTCCATAAACGCGTAACGAAGATATAAGTGATTTAAACAAGTAAACGTTACAATGCATTACAAGATGGGGGTGTTTACGAAAACTTTACGTAACCCTTGAGGTGTTTACGCCACTACTTTGTACGTTATAGAATAAAATAATTAACGTTTGGTACCAGGTGCTGCGTATTACTCCTGAATACAATTAAGGAAGGGCAATAGAGAAAATGCGTTACGTAATTTTGGAGGTGGGATAGTAGCTGAAAACTATAAAAGTTATGTAATTTATAGATTATCCCAAACATTAAATTTGTTAAAGTTTAAAGAATTTTATCTCTTCTCGTTAATGGATTCTTTATAAAAGAATTCGTTATTATCAATTACTGACAACTTTCGTTATCTGCTTCAGAGTTCAAGTAAATATTTTGTTGAAGATTTCATTTGTTAAGAGTAGATAAACACTTCATAAATAATCTTGTGTGAGGATAAATATTATCTGTCGTTCTTCGTATACAAGCCATAGTACAGATATTAATATTATAATTTCAATTAACGTTTACTTTATTTACAAAATAAATAAATTTACAAAACGTACTTATTCATTTATTTTAGAATATATATAATCACTTTAATTGTATTGTTAGTGATTATAGTATTATAATAATTCATCGTTTAATTAAAGAACATTGTCGAAATAGTAGTTAGCATATTTTGTTTTCTATCTCTTTGCAATTTATGCCGTACGTGATTCTTAATTCGAATGTTTTTAAGTTCACAAAATGAAAGATTTACTTTGAAATTCTATACATGTAACGAAAACATTTTTGACAGATCGTAATCTATTTGCTATAAAACCCAACAATGGCCGAATGAATAAAACCAATAAATAGAGAGGTTGCGGCCGACGTTTTCATCGCGAAAACGTGAACGTCGGACGTTTAGCGCCGCTTTCCTGTAAGTCTAGAAGTTTGACAATGGCGTTTGGAACGTCGAGCATGATTCCACTGACGTTCCAAACGCCATTGTCAGACTTCTAGGCTTACAGGAAAGCGGCGCTGAAACTCCGACGTTCACGTTTTCGCGATGAAAACGTCTGCCGCAACACCTCTCTATTTACTGGTTTTATCCATTCCAACCTCTCTAATAATGGCAGTTGTTCACGGGTTTGTGCCTCACCAACGGGTTGGTCGCTTGGAGTTTTCTAGGTTTTCTTCAAGTGTTTAACACCTAAATAAGTGCCAGTTTCTCATAAAAATTCTGTTTTTTCTTCAAGTGTTTAACACCTAAATAAGTGCCAGTTTCTCATAAAAATTCTGTTTTTTCTTCAAGTGTTTAACACCTAAATAAGTGGCAGTTTCTCATAAAAATTCTGTGTGTTTCTTCACGTGTTCAACTCCAAAATTGGGCTAGTTTCCCATATCTGGAGTTACTCTCTTTGAATAATCATCTATGTATTGCGTTGCTTTAACTTTCATCGAATTAATTCAATCCCATCTTGTTATATTTTCTCTGAATCGATTTAACTAATTTATTATTTTAAATACGCTGTTTTCTTAAAGCGCAATATACTTTAAGACAGTGGCACAGTCAAGATTTGGAGGAGCCGAGTCGAACGGATTAAAAAAATGTAATTAGTCCTTAAAATTTATTTTAAATATACGAATAACAAATAAAATTCGTATTTAAACTCATAAATAATTTTAAAAATTGTAAGAAAATGAAATAAATTTATAAGAAATTGTCGTATTAGCACATTTTAAGGAAGAAGTTCATGTTAATATGTAGGTCTGTTGTACAATAAATGAATTAAATTATTCTTATCAATTTATTTCATATACGTTAACAGTATGAAACTTGTTTATTTATGTATAAAAGTTCTATATTTGTGAATCTGTGACGTTCTACTTATCAAAATTTATTTATCGAAGAAGAACACAGCAGCTACTAGCTACATCCTGTTTCGAAATGTAAGAGCATTCTTTAAAAATAGATTTAAAATTACTCGATATGACGAATAATTTAAAATCGAACAAACGTTTTTAGTGTAAAAGAAATGGAATTTGTAAAGATAATAATGGAAATTATTTGGGCACTCAACGAAAATGTAAGTAATACTGTACATCCTAAACCATAATGGGAGTGATGCTCTGTAACATTATATTACAGAGTCTCTATAATTCGTCACTCGCCAGTCCGACACGTCTACTCATTCGACACCCAGAAGTACGTGAAATTTTCGTGTTTCTTGATGTATGCAACAAAGACTGTACAATGTACAGTCGACCCCCCTATAAACGGGTTCCTATAGTTCGGATTCCTATATGACGGCGAAAAAATTGCGACGGTATCCGTACAAACATGGTAAAAAAAACCTCCTATAATTCGGTAAAACGTCATTGGGCAGCCGAACTACTTTCCGCCGTCCAGCATCACGCTACGGAGAGTTTAGGCGAGTAAGTTGAGTTTACTATCGTCTGTACAGTATGTAAATTAGGTACCGTAAGTCTAATATAGCACTAATTTTATACATTTCTTGTGAAAGAAACATTTCTTATTCAACGGCCATAAAAATTATTTATATTAATGATGCATCCAAAGTTCAACGAAGTTTTCGCAGAAAAATAACTTATCAGAAATTGCGGCCGCCGTTTGGTGCGCTGCTCCGCGACGAAAACAAGCTTAAGCAATGGCGACGTCAAACGGTGCACACTCGGTAAGTAATCCTACAACTTTTTGTTTATAGCATAGTTTATACGGATTATTCCAAAAAAAAAAAAAATATATACGTGTTTTGGAAATGTTGAGTCGAATTAGTCTAGGAATCGATTAATTTTATGGAAGAAAACCTTTCGAACAGCCGTAGTTCGTAAACTTCACACGTGTCGGGCTGTGATTGGCAAGGTCTCCTAAAACATCAATTTCATAAAAAACGGAACGTATCAACCGTGTTATAGGAGGGTCGACTGTACACATATAATTCAGTTGCTAGTTGTTTGTGCTGTACATATGCAAAACAGTTACAACTGTAATTAATTCAATAAACAAACCTGTGAACCAAGTACTTTTTTACTGTATAGAACGTACACACATACAAAATCTAGTAATACGACAATCTACTGTAATTCGACACCACCGGTCCGACATATGTCGGGTTACAGAGACTGTACTGTATAGGCCTATACATAAATTAACATTTCGAAGATGGTAAATGTTGTTATTAATCGAATTTAAATCAATGCTACGACGTCTGATAGGTTTTGGAAAAGCTTGCAAGGGATCCTGCTAAACTTTCTCGGCACTCGAATAGAAAGTTGATGGGCTCGTGGTGTTTTCACTTTTTTAACTCTTTCCATCCTGCGGACATATTTTGCCATCTTGCGGACAATGAGAGCAAGTATGTGATGAGATGAAAAACCTCAAATCAAGATTTCCTGAGCTTAATCATGCTCTGATCCCGGGTTTCCCAGAATAGGGAATTATAAGGTACTGTACTTGTATATCTCTGATATTTCTGATAGATGGGAGAAGTCAAAAAACGCATCATCCTCTGAATGGGAGATAGCTTTTCTTCAGTTTTGTTCTTTCTTCCTCGTTGACATTAAGATGGTTTTTTTAATCATACCCACATGAATTCACTCACGGAGGAGCGGCCGGGTGGCGAGGAATAGTGTCCGACATAGTCACGACTTAATACTCGTGTAAAATCCCAAAAGTTTTCATGGGAAAATCAAACGATTCCGACTTTTTCAGAGTGGTAGGCTGATGCCTTATCCCCGATGCAACGTACAAAGGTAATTTCTAGCCTTAACTCGTTTTTCTTTTTGCCTATAGAAACTAAACACACTAATATAAATTTATTTATCAAAATTTTCTTCCGAAATTTGTTTTGTGTCAATAAAATGTCAAAATTATGGCAGTATCGGACTTTCCATGGTTTCGGCGTTCCGATTAAATCCCGAAGTGATCGAACGCTGACTTGTCAGGCTTTGATCGTAGAAGAATATCGATCGTGTTTTAATATAAGGAAATTTTGAAAATTCCTTTATTACTTTATTATTATTATTTTTTAAAATTAAAACATTGATGAATATTATTATCCCGAAAGTAGAAATACGAAGTGTTATTCGATTAGATAGATATACGCCCTCTTTTCTGCGTTGAATTAAAAATCATATATTATAAAATATATTTAATATTAATTAATATTTAATATTGATAATAAATTTAAATTTTACTTTCAGGAAATTAATTAAACACGAATTTATCATTTTGACAGTTTTCAATTATAAATTATAAATTTTGCAGGTGGCGCTGTTTCAGTTTGAAATTGCTGAGTGTTAGCCACTAGGCCTAAGGTAATGTGTCTTCGTGTACTTGTTTGCGTTAGAATAAGAACAATACTTGATAAATTATGTACAATTTTTGTATTATTTTCAGGTATTTTGTTTTATAGAAAAGTAATCATGCCCGAGCTACCAATATCTAAAGTGATTGTTCATCCTTTGGTGCTGCTGAGTGTTGTTGACCATTTCAACAGAATGGGAAAGATTGGAAATCAAAAAAGGGTTGTTGGCATACTCTTAGGCTCTTGGAAAGGCAAAGGAGTCCTTGATGTATCCAATAGTTTTGCAAGTGAGTTTATTCTTTTCATTAGACATTGATATTAGATCATTTGTTTATATATATGTATACAGGTTCCATAAGTCTGACCCCATAACATTATGTTGTTGTTTGTTTATTCTTCTACAGGTAAAGCATGAGGTAAAATTCAAGCTCCGAATGCACCCCCAGAATTGACTCTTATGCAAGCAAAAAAGTCAAATGAACCCTATCTGTACATGTGATCCTTTGCTAGATATTCGCCTCCATAGATCAGTTTTTAACACATATCAGTGTCCTGCCTATTTTCGACGCTCCGCATGTAGTCATGGATTTTGGTGCTTGCTATCACTTGTACCTCAGTGCCTGGGTGTTGAGATCTCACACCCCCTAAAACTATATAACATCAATCAGTCAAGTAGGCTACTCGAAATCACCATAGTCACGTGGGCTAAATAGTTAAACTCGATTGTCTTAGCGGAGCGACGAGACTTGCGATCTCGTGCAACCTGATGTTGGAGGCTGTATCTTGTGAAGGATTGCTTTTAGTGATATGATTTCTTTGACTTTTTTAGTTCCTGTGGGTATGCTCTACAGTATGATAATGTTCCAACCTTCTCATTCAGAGCTTGAATTGTACCAAGGCATGACACTGAGTAAGGAAGAGTTTAGTTTGAGTATAGTTGAACCTGTCTGTCTTGAATCTCATCGGAATGAACTTTGAGATAGACAGGTTTTGAGATTTAGAGGTTCCTATGTGGTAAACAGTAATAGGTTTGATTGGAGGTATGGTATTTTATTAATATGACAGCAAGTACAGTAGATACCTGTATTAGGTATAAATGAAACATTTTTGACATGCCTTAACAGAAATAGTTTGTCAATAGTTGCTAATGCCTTTCTTTGACCAATAAGATGCAAGCCAGAGTTGTAGCCAATCCGAGAAAAGCAGTTTTAATTGCAAGAGATGTTTCGAAACTATAATTAATGCTATCAAAATGTAGTTGTTAAACTTTGAATTTGTAATTGACACTTTGGTATAAAATTTAAGATGTAGAGGTTTTGGGAGAAAATTATTTGTGATAAACGTGGAAAATATCTTGAATTTAGGATGAAAATGCAGGGGGAAAAATGAATTGAGGTTTTTTGAGGTAGATAGGTTTAACTGTATTTTGATGATGAGAACTCTCAGTTAATATGAAGTTTGAAAGAGTTTAAAAAGCCACCATGTGCGATTGCTTTTAAACTTCATGGTAACTTTATACTGACTGAGGGTTCTCGTTATCAAAATAACTTGAATTTGTTTTTCTGTACTTGCTGTCATGTTTTTCCTGTAAAGAAATAAACAAGCAACAACATAACTCCTATCGAGGCAAACTTATGGGACACCTTCTTTATACAAAGCAGGACTGGCAAAAGGAGAGCTGGGGATTTTTCTTCAGAGCCCAGAGAAAATTAAGGGGCTTTTAGTGATTCCTATCCCTATAAAATTAACATTATTTTTACTAAGAAAATAAAATCTTAAGACTTCATTTTATTAATAAAGAAATATTCCATGTATTTCATTTCCTTAAAAAAAATAAAAGACAAATGGAGTCTGCTCTACTCCCAGGTCTCATCCAAGCTTTCAATGACCCTGGTACAAAGTACCTAAAAATAACTTTACCAATGGTATTTTATGCATATATTAAACAACGATTATGAATAAAACATCATTAACAGTGATATAAAGCTTTGCAATTTTATATAATTAAGCTTTACTTTATCATTTAATTTAGTATTGTTTATAGTTTACAATGTTTAAACAGAAATATATGAGAAGTGATAAACAATGTACAGTCGACCCCCCTATAAGATCATAGATACGTTCCATTTTTTAGGAATCCGATCTCTTACAAGTCATTCCAATCACAGTTCGACACGTATAAAGTTTACGGACTACGGCTGATTGAAAGGTTTTCTTCCATAAAATTAATCGATTCTAGACTAATCCAACTCAACATTTCCAAAATACGTATATATTTTTTGGAAACAATCCGTATAAACTACGCTATAAACAAAAAATTGTAGGATTACTTACCGAGTATGCACCATTCGACAACCCCATTGCTAAAACTTGTTTTCATCGCGAAGCAGCACACCAAACCATGGCCGATTTCTGATCATTTATTTTTCTGCGAAAACTTCATTGAACTTCGGAGACATCATTAATATAAATAATTTTAATCGCCGTTGAATAAGAAATGTTTCTTTCACAAGAAATGTATAAAATTACAGTACTGTATTAGACTTACGGTACCTAATTTACATACTGTACAGACGATAGTTAGCGTAAAAATCTCCGTAGCGTGGCGCCACGCTAGACGGCGGAAATTATATATTTAATTATAACAAAGTTACAATAAGTTAATATATAATTATATATACAGTACCTAATTTATATATAATTAATATATAATTATATGTACAGTACCTAATTTATATATAATTTATATAATACTGTCCAGACGATAGAAATCTCTCCGTAGCGTGGCGCTACGGACGACGGGAAAGTAGTTCGGCTGTCCTATGACGTTTAACGTAATTATAGGGGGTTTTTTTACGGATACCGTCACAATTTTTTCGCAGTTTTATAGGAATCGTAATTATTGGGACCGTAATTATAGGGGGGGTCGACTGTAAATAATTTAAAGGTTTACCTTTAATCTGCCAATTATAATGCTTCTATAATTAAAAATATGTAGCCATTTTTCTTGACAAAAAATCTTATTTCAGAGATAATGCGGTTTTAACGGTGATACAATAATAAAGATTTTTAAAACTTTTTGCCTTTTTCTGTGTTGTCTTTAAAACTGTGTATGACTCCATTAAAATGTCTTATAGTTTACATTTTTAAATAAGCTTTTATTGTATAGCAACTTATAACTTGAAAATCTTTATCTCCTAAACAGCTGATTCTACTATTTAAGTTTGGTTGTTTCAATTTTCACAATTTAGAGCTTCATAACTTGAAGTTAGCACAAATTTTGGTTCTATTTCAACATTGATTTCAAGAACAGATTGCAAAAAATTGGAGCAGTTCCATAAGCATAAGCAAATGCCTTAACTGTTAAGTTTTACAGACTTCTTCATCCAAAAACTGCTTTATATCTCTAGTATCCTTTTTATATTGGATGATATGTGTTAAACAGATACATTATTATTTTCTGACATACATTTTTGAGGTGTAATTTTTTCATTTTTACTGTTAATGTCTTTGAAAATGGATTATGGAGGAACCCACAAATACTAGGATATGTTCTCCGGGAAAGCAGATTTTAGGTGAATAAATTGATGTGGGAATTGTATTATATGTTACGTGAACCTTACTTTTCTTTAGAATTAAAGTACTGTACTTTGTGACATCACACTAGAATGACTTATTAATATTTTGAATATGAAGAGTTTATATACATTTCAAAATTTATTTATGAGTAAAATATCAATAGCCTGTACAATGATGTTATGTGCCACTAAAGCTAGAAAGTATAGGATGCAATATCTTCCAATTTTTGTGTCTCTTCTGATTACCAAGAATTTGATTGTTATATGATGTATGTGATACATTCTTTAATTATAAGAATATAAAACAGTAGATGTGTTAAAAGTATTTTTAAGTTAAAGTATTTTACTTGTTTATAATAATCTATAAGTACAATTAATTTTTATTAATTGGTTTAGCCGTTGTAAGCTGTAGAAGTAAATTTTGTAGAGTTCAGGGATTACTTTGTGGCAGTATATGATGGCATTCCACAGATTTTTTATAGAGAATGAAGTTGCAGAATTATGAGATGCAGACGGTGAAATAAAACATCCTGTATAATGGAGGTACTGCTATGGAATTATAGCAGAAGTGAAAAAATGCAATGAAGTCTGTCAGAAAATATTGGTAGTGGCCTGGAAAAAAAAAGAGAGAAGAAATGACTGATTTCTGTCTTGATCATTTTATTGTATTGTTCTCTTATTCTTGAAAAAACATTGTCACTATCATTGTTTTAGTTTTGTGTTTATTGAAGGATTAACAAAAGTCTATATTTCTAGAGAATGATTTTTGCTTTCTCCTTTTTCTTTCCTACTGGCAATTGCTGCAGAGGTAACATTGTGACGTGGAGTTCACTATGGAGTAATGTGCAAACATGCTGTCAAAAAGTTACTCCAACTGACAGGTTAAAATTGTGACAAATATTTTTTACAATATTGTTTAAAACAATAAATTAACAATTAAGAACTCTTGTGTAAAGAAAGGGAAATGTTAAATCTTCCTAAAATGACAGTTAACAACATTAAAGAAACGTGAAAAGTATCACAAAGTAACTCCCTTTACTCGTAAATGAAATTTAAATGTCATAGAGTTGTTCAAAAACATGCTTACCAGTATCCTTATGTACTATTCTAAAATTAGTGTTTCTTATTACTAATTATTTTTAATACGAACAGAATTAATTAGAAAGTACAGAAAATATCAAATGCAGTTACTATAAAATTCTTCATAAGGTTGATAATCTGTAAAGTTTTTTAAAAAATATCTGTATACAGTAGAACCCCTCTAATCCGTCACCTTTGGGACTGGGGGTATGGTCGGAACGCAAAAAAGGTCGGATTATCAGAAAAAAGTAAAATAAACAATCTTCCCTTTGTCCAATCTTTGTAGCACTGCTAATTTTTCATTTAATGAAAGAGTAACGTGTTTACGTTTCACTCCTGACATGTTGAAAACCACAAAAAACTGTATACGTACACACAATGTAAAACATATACTGTAACGAACACAGAACAACGCGACGGGCGGTGAGTTACTGACGAGTCGGGACAAGTTTCTCGACTCCGACCACGGTCGGATTAACCGGAGCGACGGACTAGCCGAGGGCGGACTAGAGGGGTTCTACTGTAGAACATTTTTGATAGATACAGTATGCCTTTGTCATAAGTATATATTAGCTATTCATACTATAAATGATCGTGTAAGTATGTACTGCTTTATAATGGAGATATGTGCCGAGAAATATGCAGAGACATAATATTCATAGGTGAGAGATGGTGGATCCTCTCCACCATCTCTCATCTGCCATATATGCTACAGTGCATTTACAAGTGTTTATCAGATTTTGTGGTGGGAAAGATGGTGAGGATGGGACTACTCTAAAACTTTATTAAAATGCATTGTCATTGGACTCAAGTACTATACATTCTCAAAGTTTCAGCCTTCTGCTATAATTAGAAGTGGATGAAATTTGAGTTGCAAGGTTTGAGGTCATGATACAAAGCAAGTATAAGTGTTTAAAATGAATAACTATTGAAAATTGGAAGAGATTTGTTTATATATTGCATATAATTTATACTCTTACTTATAAATAATGATTCCACTTTAATAAGAAAATAATAAATGTACAATTTAATAAAATTCGGGCTCCTATATTTTAATATAAGCATTGTCGATTATACAAATAAGTTAGAACAAAGAGCAGTTTAATCATTTAAATTTATTGAATAGAACAGAGTTAAATTTGTTGTTGATAAGTTTAATTAAAAGTCTCTTGCCAAATATAATATAATATTTAACTATCTTTAATCGAGTATTAATTACTTTAAAAGTAAAATTTAATTAGATCTAAAAAAACAAGTGTGGGCATTATTTTTCTCGGTATTATGTCGATTATAAGGAAGTAGTAAAAATGTAGTTAGCTTAGCGTGTAATTTGAATATTGTGAAATTAAGAAAACACGAATAATTACATTCTGCATAATGTTAGTTTATTTACGTGGTTTGTGTACTAATGTAATGTAACATAAATGGTTTTTCAATTCGATTTGAAACTCAATTAACTCATTATTAATATTCATACATAAACAACCTATAAATATTAATAATATTTATAAGTCATTTATGTATGAATATTGAATAATAATCATTTGTAAGCTGTTTTCCTGACTACCAAAGGGAAATTTCAGCCATTAAGTAACATAAAATATCAAAACTGAATTTTGGATGATCCTGCTGTTGTGATGAATGAAAAAGAAATTCTCATCTACTTTTCAATTCCTTAATAACCTAACAGTGTTTGAACTATTAAATTAAATACCAATTTATTCTATAATAATATTGGTAATAATAATATAAAATAACTCAGCATTTAATTTAATAAATATTGAGTTATTTTAATGTCGTTTATATTGTTTGTACTTTTTATAATCTTAGGATCTTGAAAGGGTCTCTTCTCTCATAATTATAATAATCATTGATTTGTTTATAATTTGGCTGTGAATAATTATTTGTGATCACATTTATCTTTTCTTTTCTAAATAAAATTTTAGAATTTAACATCTTTCAGGTAAAAATTGTTGAATTTTATAGCTGAGGTAAATATCACTAATGGTTTTAATGATACGTCGATTTTGTTCATGGTTGTCGGAACAATCGACGACAAAGAAAATAGTTTTCGTAAGCATGTTTTTGTCATTAATTTACTGAAATGAAATTAATTATAATCAGTTTTATTTCAGGAAATCAATGATAAATGATTATTACTTTAATTGATCAACATAATTTATTAGTATTATTTATCCCAATAGATTTTCTAAAGTATATGATCGCTTATTCCCTACTTCCACTTTATAAGGAGCGGCTATCATGTTATTGTGTTATTTGTCAATTTTATTAATGTTCTACAGTTTGACAGAGATAAGAACTTCTGTTTTCAATAACTCATTTCACTTCTTGTTGTTGTCAGTTCTATGTACTTACCTTATTTACTAGCACACAATATTAGATATTTGTTTAATTCTGTTTTATTAAAATTTAAATGTTTTATTCTTTTTACTATAATTGAGATACTTTATGTTTTACTATTGATTTACTTTCCCAACTGTTATGTATATAACACAGGAAAGTATAACTGAAAAAAATTTCATGTTGGTATTAGCATTATTTCATTTAATATCTTAGGATGGGATAAAGATTAAGAAATGAAATTAGGCACAGTAACTTGTATATAAAGTTCATTGATGCTATTAAATTTTGGTAGTTAAAGGTCAACAGGGTGGGGAGATAGAGAGGTGATCATGTGTCGTATCTTGAGAGGAGTCAGACTTAATGGAGATTTTACTTTGTAATTCAAACACAAATTATTTATTGTATTTATACAGACACTTGGCAAATCACAGAATTAAATTTTATTCAGTTGATACGTGTTCCTCTCATTTATACACATTTCAGGCATTTCTTGCCCCTCTTCAGCCAACTAAAATAAAAGTTTACAGGTTACAACAGTATAAACAAACATATAAGGTCATGTTATTTTAAAACATACCTTTTTGATTACAAATTATTGAAATTTAAAACTATAAAATTCCTTTGCCCATTTTACTAAATTTTTTATTTACGATTTTGAACCATTTAAAGCATTCGACTTCTTATTATCTAAAAAATTTTAAAAAATATTTTATATTTAACTGCATGTTATCTAAAGATTTTACATTAATTATCTTGTATACATTTATTTTGCTAACAATACTACAATTTACGTACCTAGTTATTCATTTTGAATTGTTATAAAGTTTAAACAATTTTAAAATTTCTTCCATACACTTACAATCACGTTTAAATTGATTTAACAATTAAAATTTACATACTAGTCTTTCATCAATATCGAAGTAATCCTTCCATACAAACATTTCTCTGACCTTTCCTCTCCCTTTTTCCCTCCAGTTAAGCTTGCCCTATATAATATTTATTATCTCTACAACTATAATGAATTTTATATACTACATTTTTAGTTCCAGTTGGTAGTAGTAGTTTTTTCTCAGTGTTGAGCTGTTTAAGCCTTGTATACATTTTTTGGTATGACGGTGCTAACTTGAAATTTATATTACTTATTTCATTATCAATTTGTTCGTGTAGTTCTTTGATGTATGGAAAGCCGATATACTTTATATCATTTGTTTTTTTTTATTGTCTTGTGGCTTTTTAAGATTATTTATTTTAAGTTCCCATTTTTTTTTTTAACGGTCTTTGTGGGTAACCCGCCAGGAGAAATTTCTTTTTTAATTCAGCTAAATTAATTTAATTTTTTCAAAAATACCAGCGATTTTACTTGTTATAAGCATACAATTTTTTATAAAACCCATCCTTAAGCTCAAAATTAAGTCTTTTGTAACAATTAATAATACGAAAGTTATTTTTAATAAAATCTCAAAATAGATGGCACAACAAGCAATTTAACTTCATTCTAATATGTCTTAATGTTTCTTAAACATTGATATTTTTTACCAGGAAAGGAAAGTTATGAGATTAATTGCTGGTTTAATAATTGATTTTACTAATTATTATTATTATTATTGTATTTTATTATGCTATATGTTAACTATTTCATTTGCTCTGGCAGTTCCATTTGATGAAGACGACAGAGATAAAACAGTTTGGTTTTTGGATCATGATTATTTGGAAAATATGTACAGTATGTTCAAGAAGGTAAATGGTAAGTAACTTTTTAAATGTTATCCAAATTATCATTATTTATTAAAATTATACAATGCATTGAATATAAAACATAAGTAAATTTTTAATAAACTATATAAATATTTTTGAAGGCAATTAAGGCAATGGCCTATTGCTTCGAGGTTGATACGTTGCGTCCCATTCTTCACTACTTGGCCTCTCCATTTGGGGTTTGGCCAAATCCATAATGGGCCTGAAAAAGGTTCGTTAATATTCATTGGGCATAAAATTTCGAACAACTGTTAAATGTAAGATGTGCAATATCTTCAAAAGATCTCTCACAATTCTTTTGGGTTTTGACCCTTGGTGAAATTTGCTGAAATTTTAGTATGTTTTAGTTCTTGACTAACTGACAAAAAGTCTCAATGACACAAAGCTTTTTTACTATAATAGTTCAAATATATGGGAGATGTACAGTACATACAGGATGGTAACAAAAGCTCAAATAGCCAATTATTTCAAAACTTAATAGGTAAAACGAAGATGAAAAAATACACACTATTACCTTTTAATACATTTCAAAATATCAAGTAGGATCTCGTAATGGTCTGTCAAATGTGAAAAGTAAATGCTTCACTGCACAACATGCAGGGGTAGCAGTGCATTGCTGAATAACACAAATGCAATGTGAAAGTATTGATAGTTGAATGTATGGCTAGGTTAGCATTAATGATATGGAAATGATCCAATTTAACAGAAAATATCAAAGAACCATTATATAAAATAGCTTTAACCTAATCACTATGTCATTGCTAATCTAAACCTAGCTGCACATTTGACCACTTTTGCAAGTTATGCAGCAATGCACTGCTACATCTGTATGTTGTGCAGTGAAGCATTTACCTGTCATATTTGACAGCCTATTTTGGGATCCCACTTGATATTTCGGATTGCATTAAAAGGTAATGGTTGCATCTACAATGATTGATCTATTACTTTTTGAAATAATTGGCTGGGGAGAGACTTTTGTTACTACCCTGTATATTCAAATAATTCTAAAAAAGTTAACCATTTTCAAGTTTTGTATTCGTTGATAGCTTTCATCAATTAGTTAAGAACTATAACATACTGTATTTTAAACTTTCAGCCAATTTCTCCAAAGGCCAAAATTCTGAGGATCGTGCAGGATTTTGGGGGTTGGAGGAAAAAAGAGTTTTTTGGGTTGTTGTTGAGTTCGTAGTTAACAAATGAGAATGTATATATGGAGTTTAGTTAGTAATCAGAAAATAGTTTTTAAATATTTTGATAAACAGCTTTGTTAGTAAATTTTCTGCATAGAAAATAAATTTCTTCTATAATTTCTTTTCACAGGTCCTCCCACATCTGCTGCTCATTTATTTTCTTTATTATAATTTAATAGCTAATTATATTTTATGCATTCGCAGAGAAACCTGTTATGTGGAATATTTTTGCTTTTTGTATAAAATCAGCTCTCTCTATTCCATTCACAGTTCATTTTAAATGCATATTCATCATTGATACATGTCATTCCTTTTTTTTTTATTATTTCATCATTGGATTGTTTGTCCCGTGTGATTATTGTGTGTCTGCCTATTATCACAGACTGCTGATTAACCTTTATCTCTATTCTAAACTTCATATATACTAATGATCTATTAATAAAATGCCTGTCACTTCATCTAGCTTTATCTTAAGATCACTATCAGGTTTCTGATCTAATCTGTTTTTCAGATAACAAATCTGATCTTTCAGGTTGTCAAATTATTATTGTTCAAATGTTGTTCTTTGTTGTTTTTCATATGAAGTAAAAAAATATTTCCCAAAGATGAATCTTTAACTGAAGGTGACTTTGTAGAAAGGTCATATTCAACTAAAATACCTTGCCTTATTTGATATGTAATTCAAGATATTTGAGTTAAAAATGTCTTTAATGTTGATGTAGATTTACAGACTAATGCTTTTATATTAATTTTTAAAATATTTTAAATTTCTTTTTACACAGCTCGTGAAAGAATTGTCGGATGGTATCATACTGGACCTAAGCTTCATCAAAATGACATTGCAATTAATGAATTAATCAGAAGATACTGTCCTAACTCTGTAAGTTTAGAATTAAATCTTTTGTATACAGTTGAAACCCATTTATAAGTATATTGTATACAAAGAAAGTACAGTACAGAAATGTACAGCTGAGAAACATATAAATAGGGTTTGACTGTAAAAAGATTAAATATATCTAAATTTTCAAGAAAAATACAATTTATACTATTTTAATTATTTATTTTTTATTAGGTTTTTGTTATAATTGATGCAAAACCAAAAGATCTTGGTTTGCCGACAGAAGCATACATAGCTGTGGAAGAAGTACATGATGTAAATATGTTTTTCTTTTCTTCTATTTCAATATTTAATTTATGATGTGTTATAAACATGAATAATAATCATTTAAATGTTTAGAAAATTTTCTTTAATAAATAATGCGCTGAAATAAAATCATATTTTATAATGTCAAATGTTACTAATAAAAAAACTATAAAATTAAAAGATAAAAAAATTTTATTTTCCTCTTTGCACGTNACGAGCATACACTCATTGTAGCAGGATGTATGACACACGTAAAGAACTTGATTACATTGCAAAATTAGCAAGAGATGTAGGACTTAAGCAAAGTAAAGTAAAAGCCTTAATACAAGAAGCGGAAAAAGGATGCAATAAGACTAAAGATAAGAAAGAAAAAAAGGAGTTCACCGTAATGGAATACAGAGCACCGTTAAGTGGCATATACAGAAAAATAGGAGTAGAGAGCAAAAAGAAAATAGCATATAAGAGAAACACGACAATATTCCAAATGCTAAGAAATGACAAAACACCAATAGACAGGAGGCTAGTTCCAGGTGTGTACAGAATACCGTTGCATGATAAAAGGCTAAAGAAAGAGTTATATTATATAGGAGCCACAAAGAGATCATTAAGAGAAAGATTGAAGGAGCACGAAAAAAATATAAGATCTAAACAACCGATCACGGCTTTGGCCAATTATGCTATCGCGGATCCTGCAGAGATTACAATCGAATGGAGCAAGGCGGATATTATACAAAAGATTGCTAATATACGACATCTAAAGTATGCAGAGGCATGGCACATTTATAAATACAGAAAAAAGGGGCTAAATATAAATTTTCGAGAGTCAAGTAGAATAGCATTGGCATGGAGAGCGGCGGCATTATAAAGAGCTAATGGACATGCGCGATCGAATATCTGAAGATTATAGAACGTGCATTGTTCGAATTACCGTTGGGAAAGTTCAAATTTTTAAAATTTTTTTACATCAATCCTGAAGATGGTCTATGAATTAGACCGAAAACGTTAGAGAACTAGACAAAAGTAGACTGCATTTTAAAGGTATAGTGGAATGTAGTAATTAATAATGCAGTTAGAGATTTAATAATTACGCTTTCTATTCCGTGAACACTTATAGGATAATCACTTGATTGAATTCATTAAGAATATGCAAAATCGTTTCTGATGGATATTTCCTTTAAACCGCAAAGTTTGTTTCAAAAACTTCAGGTAATGTAAAACTGATAAATCAATAATCAATAAAAAGTTGACCTGTGTGAAGAGAAATAAAATTATAAATAATTTTGTCGGATCTTTTTAGAATTTATAAATATTAACGTTTGTGGTTTTCTTGACAATATCTTTGACATTATCTTTGACATTACAGAATACAAGAAAAAATATTAATTTTTTAATACTTATTTAAGAAAAATATAAAATAAATACAATTGACTAATTGACTACAAAGGAAACTTCTAATGTCTTGATTAATACATCTATTTTTATGCTGTTAATACAGTTATTTTTTAAAATATTGGTTTTTACAATACTTTAAAAAGTAAATATGGGTAGGTATTACATAACAATGGTGGTTCCATAAGATTTAACACATTATTTACCATTTGAAAGATATCTGTAGATTTAGATTATGATAACTAAGTAGATTAAATATAATTCTGATAAAGCTATAATTTTTATATTCTAAAATTTCCTAGTTAAACTGTTTTTTTCGGGTTAGAAAGTTGTTATTTAGCGTAAAAAAATAGCGATAATTTCAGTAAACTGTTTTTTAAATCGTTTTAACGTTTAATCTATTAAATTTCCTTTTGCTGTATAATTTCACTATTTTTAAAAATAAAATTACAGAAAGTAGATATGATTAAATTAATTTATTGATCAGAAAGGAAAGTACATATAATTGAGATGTTAATGTAAAAACCAAGAACATTTTCAAAAGAAAAAAGTAAAGTGTAATCTAGTTTAAATTATCAAAAGATTTTTTTAGTTAGATTTATCTTTTCATTAATATTTTTATCATAAAGTTAATTAATTTTTAAATTAATACCTTTAAAAAAATTTTTAAACAGAAAGTAAAATTTTCTTTCAAAATAATACTTCATAATTTTCAATAAATGTGTTTTAAAAGTAAGGAGAAATCCATTTAAAAAGTATGTAAAAACACTAAATTATATTCTATTTCCACTACAATATGGAATGCATTGCATTTGATGCATATTTTTCACTGAATTTACATTGCAAATGATGCAAATCTTTCATTTGATAGGTGAAATTCTTTTAAAATTCAAATTACAAATATTTAAAAGATTGCTACAATTGCATAGTAAAGCTAGTAAAATAACATAAAAATGATGCACACGCATTGCATTTAGTGTGTGTCATTTGTGTAGAAAGGTAGTTTGAGAAGATATATTTTTTTATTAAGTATGGTTTATTTTATAAGCAAAAGAATATTTTAAAAAAAGGACTTGGATTGATGGAATAAGGCAACACAATACTTCAGAGATCTGCTAAGGGTATGTCTCCCAGGAGAACTTTCTATAGGAAACTGGCCCCCTATTTAGGGTACATGAAGAAAACACAAAAGCTTCACGTAGCCTACCCATTGATCTAGTGCAAATCTGCAACTAACTACCAGTGTTCAATGATTTTATCCACTCGACAACTGGTGGGCTCTTTTAAAAAACAATAAAGTAGGATGTGAATAAAAACTGTTACCATAAAATTTGAGTATTCTGGTTTTATAGTGGTTACTAAATGGTCTTTGTTTTAAAATTTCTTCATTATATTCTATAAATTTTTTGCATTAATGGCATTGATCTTTATTTTGAGGATGTAGAAATTGGTTTAAAATGTTCCTCTGGTATCAATACAATGTAATAATTCTAATTCTGTTAATCTTTTTATTTAAGAACTTTTGTAGATGAGAACATCGCAATTACAGTTTAAGCGATGTAAATTTTTCAAATCAAATTGTAATTTTGATATTTTCTGCATTAAAAAGCATTTCAAATGTCATGTAAGTCCACAAAGCATGTCATGATGACAGCTTTTATGCAAGTATGCGTGTAATCCTGTATGCCAAGAAGTTAGTGAGTAACATTGTTGTGTTCTGTCCATCTTCAGCTTACAAACGTAAGAAATAACAAATAATTGTTAAATTTAAAATTAAAATTTAAAGAAATTATAAAATATATTTATTAGAAGAACATCTGGATGCTGTTTCTTTAGTTTTATAAGTTAAATCATTAATACATTTTTATTAATTTTAATCAGAAGCAGATTCTGTTTAGAAATATTTGACATCTGATTAATAAATAAGCTTCTAATTGTCATATTCCATTAATATTTATTCTAAATTATACATAATTAATTAAGAAGTGGGTCAAATAGCTATTTTAATAAATGAACAAACTATATTTATTGAATAATTCAGATTGTTCAAGAGATGTTTTTCAATACTTTAATTCTTAAAGAATGTCATGTTATATTGTAGAGTTAACAAAATGCTTCCTACGACATTAAGCAGTAGAAATTAAAAAAAAAAATACAAAATAGTTAGGTTTCTTCAAGAAACAACCCCAATAAAATGTAGTTAAATTTTGATTTTTTAAACCACATACCTACCCTGGTGCTTACCAAGACCTTACTGTGGATTTGACTACAATCGTAACATGGATAACCAGGTAATGAGGGATGGAGTCCAAAGTATTGGGATAAATTTCTGAGGTTCCTAACCCAGTTCTCTCACTTACTGAGGCAGTAAAAGTGCTGGCTTTCCAATCTGGAGGACCCAGTTCAAGTCTGGGTTGGAAATTTTACAGGGATGGTGCAATCTTGAATATGTTAAGTCCCATTTCTCACCACCAAGCCTGACCAAAACCATAATAGACACAAGAAAACCCCCTCTTAGTTCCAATAGGAGAGGAAGTGTTAGTTTACCTGAGTGGGAAAATGATGTCTTTACTACCTCAACCAACCAGCCATTCACATCACGGTTACAAAGCATTGTTTCTTCTTCAATATTACTTATTGGCACTAAAATGTGCTGTCCAGCTCTGCTAGACACTACCAGGACAAAGCATTTGCTTTAGAAAACTATTAAGCAAGATAGTGAAGTGGTGTAAACAATTCAAAATGATTTTAAATTTGATTCTTTCTTTGAAATTTCTACCGCTTGATGTTGCGGATGACTTTTTACTAAGTACACCACACGAATATATCTTCATCGCATTGTTTACGTAAATTGTGTGTTCTTGTATCCATCATTTATGACAAATTTTTCTGCCGGGAATTACTACATTTGTTATGAAATCATTCAATATATAAATTAATATTTACACAAGTAAGCAAACTTAATTGAATATATCCGTTATTAATTAAATTTTGAAATGTGTAGGTCGCTGTGATTTAATTAATTTAATGGTACTATTATGAACTTTAAGATAGTTGATTTATTATATGACAGTTTTATTAACCGTCTTCCAATTTATGTGGGATCTTTGGATATAATGAAAATTGAAGATCATTAATAAAACTGTTTGAAATTTATTATATATTTGTGTAAATTAATATTTTATCATATACAGTCTGAAAAATTATGATCTTACTTCTAAACAGGATTGTTTTTGTGCAATTATAATAATTTTTAAAATTTATTTCAGTCTTAAAAATATATACAGACTGTCTGGAACTATAGAAGTTTCATTGATCTTTGTTTATTCTTTTATAGGTAACGTGCTGTAAGTTGGAACGAATAATTCAAGTTATTTTGATGTTGGGGATCTATAGCTTGAGAGAAGTTGCCATAGAGTTTAACAAGCTGCACCCAGATCTGTGTGTGTGTGTGTGTGATTGGGGAATTCTGGATGTAGTCTGTTAAACTCTACGGCAACTTCTTGCTGACTGAAGTTCCCTCCATCAAAATAAATTCGTTCCTTAACTCTGTGCATGCTTTACTTGTAAAACAAATTAACATAACTCTTATGGTTCCCTATATGTAATAGATATTTTTATAAATAAACCCTTCTAAAATTAAATCCATGGGCTTATTCTTTGTTGCTTTTGGCACCACAGTTCTTCAGTTTTATCAACTTCAGCTGTGTGGGTTGGAGTCGGTGAATCTGAAAATGATGAAGACAAAGTGTAGAAGAATAATAGTGAGATGTTTTAGTGCAATGATGATGAATGTTACAATTCTTCTGATGATAAATGATGCAATTTTTAAGTTTTCAAAAGTAAGCCTGTGCGTATTTTATAGAGAAGTTGCTTTGTTCTTGTAATGAAGCCCAATATTTGCAGAAATATCCAATACATAAAATTTTTCTGTACAAAAATCTAATAAATTGTTTTAAAATTGGATAAACGTCATGAAAATCTTTTTCTTTTATTAATTAGGATGGAACACCAACTACAAAAACTTTTGAACACGTACCAAGCGAAATTGGAGCAGAAGAAGCTGAAGAAGTTGGAGTTGAACACTTGTTGAGGTAGATTTTTCTGTTAAAATAACTAATATGGTAAAACGTTTCCAATTAGTACTTTTTAATTTAAATTTTAAACAATTTTCAGGGACATAAAAGACACGACACTCGGCACATTGTCTCAAAGAATAACCAATCAGCTGAGAGGTCTTAAAGGTTTACATTCTCAAATTAACGACATTAGAACTTACTTGGAACAGGTACGTTTTTTCATTTAAAAAATTTCATTTCTAAATCACAGCATCTTTATTATGTACTTACTAAATTTTAGATAATAGCCGGAAATCTACCCGTGAATCACACCATTATTTATCACCTGCAAGATATATTCAACTTATTACCGGATGTAAATTCTCAGGAATTTGTTAAATCCCTCTACGTTAAAACTAACGATCAGATGCTTGTCGTGTACTTAGCCTCGCTGGCTCGTTCGGTAATCGCGCTCCACAATCTCATAAATAACAAAATTACCAACCGAGACGCGGAAAAGAAAGAAGGGATCAAAAAAGAAGAAGGCAAAGAAAGAAAAGAAAAATCGGAAGAAAAAACCGACGACAAGAAAAAGGATAAAAGTAAATCGTGTCTAATAGATTAAAAAATAAATTATTGATTTGTTGTTTTTCAGGATTTACCAATGCTGTTACTTTTACTATCATCATTATTATTATTATTATTATTTTTTAATATAAATGATTTCCATTTACTTTCTGATTAATCTTCTTCTCCTTCATAAAATTTTAATAATTTCCTTTTTCTTTCATCGCGTAAATTCGAAAGAATGTCTCGGCATTTCCAACCAAAGTAGCATTTTAAAATTCAGATGGAATGTAGATGCTATCGTTAGATAAATATCCCATTTGGTGTCTATTAATCATTTCTGTGAATGACCATGTAAATACTGAGTTACTTAAATATAACATTTATAAATTCTTAAAAGGAAAATAATTTATGTAGCACAATTTGTTCAGAATTTAGGCACTTTGTAATAAAAAAAACATGTTTTTTACTTAAAAAACTGATTGATGATTTGCTTTTTGACCCTATATTACAATATATGAATTAACGAGTACTGAAGAGGGACAGATAGACTGTCTGAAATACATACCATCAGTATAATAAACCTGTGTTCACCCATTTCTGTGTGATTACTCCTACAGCATCAATATTGTGTGATGAATCCTCCATAGAACCAAAACTTAGTGCTCATTAATTAATAAAAACACCGAGTTATTCTTATTTGACATGCTTTATTAAAAGTGACACAGAGAATTCTACATAGTGACATTGAAACAAATTTACATTATTGTATAATTAGCAATGTTAAACGTTCCTAATAATGTAAACTGCTAGAAGAATTGCTCTTCCAGATTCTGGTGTAAACTTCTGGAAGAAAGTTTCTTCTAGCATTTTACATTATTGTAGTAATTAGAAATGTTTTAAACATTGTATTTTGTTCATTTAACCAACGAAAATATCAAAACTTTCTAAAATTTAGGAGATTTGGGAGCTAGTTTTGTGCCAAAGGCCGCAATTTATACTGTCATATATATAAATGTATCTGAGATATGTTTCTAAATAAGGATAATTCCGTTTGATGACAGAAATGATTTATTTGTTTCTGATATGTCATGTTGCCTGTCACCGTTGATAAGTGTTTACCGTGAAAATTGCCACTGGATAGGAAACTTGTCTCTACTTTTATCTCCCTACAATACAATCTATATCTATTTAGTGATATATCACTATAAAAAACATACAATAAATTATGTTCTAAGGAACTCACTCGTAGGACTTATAAAATGTAGGAATTACTGTGGATACTCCAGAGAAAATATATAAATAAATCCGGCACGTTTAGCACGGCAGGGATATAGTAAATCAAGAAATTGGGTCAGTTCAGAAGAAGTAAAGTATTGATCAATGATTGATTAATATCGATTGATCTAAAGAAATTTAAATAAATTCTAATTTAGTAACAGTAACATCACTGAAAGTATAATTAAGGTCATGGTTATTTACATAATAAAACAATAAAATTATTTAATTAAAAAACACATTTTACATTAAATTCAAATATAAATAATGCCCCTTTACAATGGAATATATCAGTAAATACTTGCAGTTCTTATTCCTTCTATAATATATAATTACTTCGTTTCAAATTTGACATGCCCTGACTTTTACCAGGGGATTTTTGGGCAAAAAATTGAGAATAAATACTGAGTAAACAATTGAACAATCTACTCTGCTATCAGAATAGATCCTGAAGATGGCCTAAATTAGACCAAAAGTGGCTTACTCCCCTACAATTAAGGTAATATGCTCACTACTAGGTGTAGAGCCTTCGTGTATGCTAATTATACTTTATTTAAAATAGAAAATTTGCATACAGACGTGAAAAATGGCAAATAATATCCCAATTTTACACTCTAAAACATGAAAAAATTGCTGTTAAATTCAAGTAATGCTTTAACTAATAGGAAGTCTACGTGTGTTCGATATGGAAGAAGAAATCTAACAATTCATCTAATGTTCTCTCTATATATTTCTCTGTTAATATAGCAAATACCTTTAGATTTATAGTCGCATTTGCTCGACCGATAATTTATCAACAAGCCAAATGCAACCAATGGCAAACTTTTATTTTACACGTTTTAATGACGTATATTCTCCTCAACGTCACGTAATATATTCTTTAAAAAAAAAAAAATTAATATTAAAACACCATTAAAATATCGAACGATGAGTGAAACAACCCGCAGTGATTTATAGCATTAAATGTCATCGACTTCGTGACTGATTTATTGGAATTTCAGATTAATTCGTTTAATATCGGGTTTCTCTTTCGTATAATTCAGTCGTAATGTCGATGTGTTTGGTAATTGAATTAATTATAAAGTAATTTTAAACGTGTTTCTACTCTAACAACTTGCTTTACGTTTCCTAATTATGTTAGAAATTTCTTTTTTTCCTATATTCAGATTAATGTCTCTTTGCTCAAAACTCTGCCTCAAATCGACTCCTTTCTGTTCATTAAAAGTTGTAAACACTTAAATTTAAACCTCGATATAACGTCTTCCTATTTCTAAACGTATAAATGGAGAACATTTCAGTTTCTGAAGCGTTACAAATGGCATTATCGCGTGTTCACCCCGTTATAGTGCGAGTTACTTCAGTTTAACCACTTAACACTGTTCACGGGTTCGCACCTCAGCAACAGTGAAGTTTTCCCAGTTTTCTTCACGCGTATAACACCTAAATAGGGGTCATTTTCCCCATAGAAAACCCCCAGGAGGGTGGTTCGATTGCCGTATCTCATCAAACAAAACCTTCAGTTTAATACCTCACTCGATTTAACCCAATTCTAATGACGCTAAATCGAAGCTTTATGGTATTCCAGCTTCGATTTAACGCCATAACGCTATATAATCAATGTCTTTTGTAAAGTAAAAACAAAAAGAAATGAATAATTTGTTAATTTGAATAAGTAAAAAACTAACTGTAGCTTAATTGAATTTTACTGTTTTTAAAATTTATATAAAGAAGCCATATTTGTTTTTTTCTTTCTTTCTTTCAGTTAGCAAATTGCTAATTAAAATTAATCTCATCAGAGAAATTGATAAAGATGGAGGATGTTGCTAAGAAACAAAATGTAAGCATTACATTAAATGATTAATCATAATTAGAAAAAAAAAATGTTTAATTTGAAAGGGAAGGATATTTACAGTTCTTTACAAGGGAAGAGGGTATAATTAGAAAGTTATATAAGCAACAAATTAATGTTTAATTGAACCCAACCTATAAATTATTTAAGATAAAAATCCTTTAAATTAACCTGTCTAAATATATCTTATACGGAAAAATAAGATAAGGCTTTGAAGTAGTGTAAATTATACTTACTTTTATCATTTAATTAGTTTTAACCTTAAGAAAACTTTAATGATACTTTCGTCTTTGATTTCCCTTCCTCCTTTTGTGGACTTTTTATCATTTGCAATATTATTTTTAGTATAATCGCGTAATTAGAAGAAGGAGAAGTGCGCTTTTGTATTTGGATTCTGTCTGTAAGGGTTCGGGTTCGATTTCTTTATTAAATTCTCTCTCTAGAAGGCATATAAACCATCCCTTCTATCTGCCTTCTAGAGGTGTTCGCGTGTAAAATACTGTACTAAGTTTATGCTCTACAATCCTAATATCGACTGAATAATCTCGTACGTACAGTACACATGGGAAGAATCCGGGTTCGAATCCCATCTATATCTTCATAATTTATTATTGATATTAGGGTCTCATCCATGCTTGTTGAACCTAATGCAGATAGGGCCTTCCTTTAAGGCCTGCCGTATTGTCTTGATACGAAGTACAAAGTACAGTACGTTAATCAATCAATAAATGGTATCCGAACCGCGTGATTTATTAAATTCTCCATTTCTCATTGGTGTTGACGATCCTATTGAGGGTTAGAACTGCATATAACAAGCAAAGTTAGGCTCGTAATTCCAATCTAATTTGTACGATTTATTATATATTATTAATCATTTCGTTATCTATCCGGCATTATTTTTTTTTTTTTTACCTCTTTGCTCACCTCCCTGTCCGATACACGTTCTTTGTAAAATAAAATATGGGCTATTAGTCTGTCAAACCCAAGTAATTCACACTTTTTCACATTATATTAATGGACTTTGAAGAGAAAATGCTGATCGCCCGTGTAGTGACACGAGAGTTTTATCGTTCCTCCGAACACCGGGCAGCTTGGTTTCTATGTATTTCACTCTTCTGTGAGGTGCTTTTCTTATAATCCGAGTGCGAAAAGGAAAATTAAATACAGTAATTCATAGAAATTCTGCCCTTTAACCTTTCAAAGATGTCAAATCCAAAGTAATATGGGGGTTCGATAGACACGTGTGGAAGTCATTCAAGGATCTCAAAGTTGTAATTTTGAAAGCACGCGTAGTAAAAAAAAAGGAGAGATGATTTTATTATATTTCTCTGTATTTTTCACAAAATAGATCGAAATTATAGTTTTATAATGTAAAATTCAATCTACGTTTTCAATATTTAGTATAATTTAAAGATAAATGGCCGCCAAACACTGGTTTCTCGCATGTTTCGTGCCCCACTGACGTCCAGCCACGTGGAGTTTTCCGGATTTCTTCACGAAAGTCCTTTTCGCCACGTGTTGCATTATCTCAACCCAATAATTCTACATTCACGGTTGTACATTGCATGCTACACTTTTGTATTGTTATTCAGTGTGGCCCAATAATGGCAATACAACGATTCGTCACTGTATTTTAGTTGCAACAATCTTTCCGCTGTAAAATATAAACCTTTCAACCCCCTTTCACAATAGAAACGTAAAGAACGTGTAATTTAATAAAAAGTTTAAGTTACTTTCACGAATTCTTACGCTGTTACGCGGCTTAGAATGGGGGTAGACACGCGATCAATCATTGAAATCTTTAGAAAATTTCAAGATATTTTTAACAAAACACAAGATAAACATCAACAACTTCTTTATCAAATCAAAAAAAGAACTGTACGGATGGAGAATGTTTGCACGAGATTTAGCAGAGAATAACAGCAAATTGAATAGCGACAAAAATAAATATGAATAAAGGGGAATGACAGCTAACAAATGAGTTTCTTCTTATCTTTATCTCACGTTTTCCACTTCCATTTGCTGGTTAACATAACCTATAACTATGATAATTTAGGAGAAAGTGCAAGGGGGAACTGAATATGCAACAGACACTTAATCCAGAAATATGAAATATTACAGAAAAGCCTTTTATCTTCTTTCTGTTCTAGATAAAAATCAATTTTCTTTGTGAATTTTCAACACTCTTTTCCAGATAACACGCATTCGACTTCATTAATATTGTTATTTATAACAGTTTCTGGCATTTAAAATTCTTGTTTTTTGGCTTTGTGTAACGGAGAGGAAATATGTCGATCACTCAAAAAAAAAAAAAAAATGACACCGTAAGATCTTTTTACGTTTTTGGACTC